GTATGTCTATGATTCCGTGAGCTGAATTGTAGATTCCCAAGAAAAAGTTCGTTTCGGCCGCTGGACGTTGGAAACAAATTCGAAATATTGAATCCTACCAGGATGACGCAGTTTACCATCGCGATCCTCCCCGGATCAACACCCACTTTCCGACCATGATAGTGCCTTTCGCTGGTACGACGCATAGACTTAAATATATGGTAAATCAAGTGTTTAAGTCGTCGATTTTGTACCTGAAGTTTTCCCCCATATATCATTCAGACAGCCATCCAAACATCAAATGGGGCCAAATCGGCATATGATACCGGATAAGGAATCCGATTCCCTGTGCCGTGGGTGAGCAGCCATGCTTTTATTCCAACATCCAAGACAATAGTCTCTTTTGGTCTTGTTTGGATTCACTCAGGTGTGACTTTGTGATAAACCGTATTAGAGTCCAATTCCCAACATACTTGGAAGCATAAGCCCTTTCTATGTGACGACGATTTGAATAACCTTAAGCTTCTCGGATAATAGGTAGTGTCGAATTATCGGGCATCTAGCAGCGACGATCCGATCATGCGCATTGCCGGCCAATCGACGTTCCGGTGTTGCTACAGGGTAGCGGGCTTGCTCGAGTATATCAACGATATTGCTCTCTCATGATGAAAGACTCCATCAACTGACATTCGGAACTTCTCAAGATAATAAAAAATTAAAGTAAGTAAGGTAACATGTTGATTGGCGGAAACCGAATGTTCGCAACAACTGTACGTGAAGGAACAAGACAATCAAACCCTATTCTCATGGAAGATCTACGATAAATCCCAATGCCCGATGTCGTTTGCGCTTACATGCTTGAAATCTTTGATTCTATACAGAGACATATGCTCAAGTTCTAGTTGCAACGATCGTGCTTGTCGGCTAATCCTGTTATCATCATAGGGACTGTCAAAAGCACGGCAATGTAGAGCGCTGCTCAACAATAGCTACCTAGGCATGACCAATATCTTCTCATAATTTCATTCCAACCTACTCATATCTAAAACAAACGAAACAAAAAAAAAAAAAAAAAATAGAATTATGAGTCAAGTTCTCCAACTTGGGTAGTTGATGCTCGTCACTTTGTTATATCGGACGTCTCTTATCTTTTTATCTTTCCCCTTATGACTCAATGCCGCCCAATTGCAGCGCTCCAAAAGACCCCTCCACCCCTCCCCCACCAACATCTCTCGATAACTTTCCATCTTCAAAAATAACCCCACCACGAGCTTCAACATCGAATACAGCTAAGAGATTCTCTAAATTGCTGAAAAACGACATAAGAAATACCGAACGAAGCCGATTAACGATCTTACACCAATTGACATCATGTCCGACCCTGTCGCTGAGGTCACCGAGGGCACTGTCAAGCTCGTGCTTGACGAGGTGACGGGAGAGCAGGTCACGCGCAACGAGTTGAAGAAGCGCACTCAGAAGCGAGCCAAGAAGGCTGCTGCCCAGGCCTCGCGGGAGGAGAAAGCGAAGAACCAGGAGGCTAACCCTAAGCCTGCTGCGCCTAAGCCTAAGGCCCAGGAACCTACCCAGCTCGACCCCGATGCTATGTTCAAGCAGGGCTTCCTTGCCGACGTTTACAAGGAGCGACCTGTGAAGCCTGTAGTTACTCGATTCCCTCCCGAGCCGAACGGATATCTTCATTTGGGTCACGCTAAGGCTATTGCCATTGACTTTGGCTTTGCTCGCTATCATGGTGGCAAGACGGTAAGCTTGGGAGCGGGCTGTTGTGATTCATAGTGCTAATATGTGGTAGATTCTGCGGTATGATACTGTCTGACAAGTACTTTGTCCCTAGCTAACAAGAAAAGATTCGACGACACGAACCCCGACGAAGAGGAGGAAGTTTACTTTGAATGGATCCTTAAGATTATCAGATGGCTTGGTGGGCATCCTGGATCCGTGATCCTGAAACCGACTGATTCTAACCTCATATTAATACAGGCTTTGAGCCCAGTGCCATCACCCACTCAAGCGACAACTTCCAGAAGCTCTTCGATCTCGCCAAGGAGCTCATCAAGAAGGAGAAGGCCTACGTCTGCCATTGTAATGAGGCCGAGATTAAGCTCCAGCGCGGTGGAAAGGAAGGAAAGGAGGGTCCCCGTTATCGATGCAAGCATGCCGAACAGGATGTCGAGACAAATCTCCAGAAGTTCCAGGACATGCATGATGGAAAATACGAGCCTCAGACCGCTTTCCTCCGCATGAAGCAGGACATCACAAGCGGAAACCCCCAGATGTGGGATCTTGCAGCCTACAGAATACCCAAGAAGCAGAAGCCTCACCACCGAGCTCCCGAGTGGAAGATCTTCCCTACCTACGATTTCACACACTGCCTTTGCGATAGCTTCGAGGGTATCACTCACAGTCTGTGCACGACCGAGTTCATTCTGTCCCGTGAAAGCTACGAGTGGTTGAACAAGTCTCTCGAGGTTTACGAGCCTATGCAGCGAGAGTTTGGTACGAGTTCCCCATTGCGTTGAGTTTCCATGAAATGCTAACAGACAACAGGCCGACTTAATGTTAGTGGAACCATTATGAGCAAGCGAGCTCTCAAGAAGCTGGTCGAGGGTGGAATTGTTCGTGGCTGGGACGACCCTCGACTGTACACACTGATTGCTATCAAGCGCCGAGGTATTCCTCCCGGTGCTCTTTTGGCCTTCATCAACGAGCTTGGTGTTACCACAGCCAAGACAATCATCCAGATTGCTCGATTCGAGCAGACCGTTCGCCGATACCTCGAGAACACAGTACCAAGACTCATGCTTGTCCTGGATCCTGTCCCCATCGTCATTGAGGATTTGGAAGAGACCCAGGAGCTCGAGGTTCCCTACTCACCCAAGGACCCCAAGTTCGGTACACACAAGGTCCGCCTAACCAAGACCGTTTACATTGACCGCTCCGATTTCCGAGAGGAGGACATCAAGGGCTACTTCCGACTTGCCCCTGGAAAGACTGTTGGTCTTCTCAACGCTCCTCACCCTATCAAGGCCACTTCATTCGAGAAGGACGAGTCAGGCAAAGTTACCAGCATTAAGGCCGTGTTCGACAAGGAGAGCAAGCCCAAGACTTACATCCAGTGGGTGCCTGAGGGCTCCATCAAGCTGGAAGCCCGAGTGCATAGCGCTCTGTTCAAGTCTGATGATCCCACAGCCGCTGAGGGCGGCTTCTTGAACGATGTCAACCCCAACAGCGAGGTTGTTTATCCCGAGGCCCTGGTTGAGGAAGGCTTCAAGGAGGTGCGCGAGAGAGCTCCCTGGCCTGTCACCGCTGGTGAGACGAGCGAGGCTAGCGGCCCCGAGAGTGTTCGATTCCAGGCCATGCGTGTTGCCTATTTTGTGAGTATTTATTATCCTGGACAACAATCTATAACTAACAATTCTGCAGGCTATGGACTCGGATAGTACAGATGACAAGATCGTGCTCAATCGCATTGTTTCACTGAAGGAGGATCGCGAGAAGAACTAGGAAAAGGTGCCATAAATAAAGAATAAGAAAGAAAGGAGTCCACTTTAGATGACTGACACTTGGTATCTGCTCTGCTTTGCGACTGAGATACAGTGGACTTGTGGCTTGAAACAATATGTAACAGAAATGTATTCATGACGACGCCGAAAGTTATGCTTGATGGGGGAGTGTAGACGAGAGTGGTAGTAAGGAGCGAGAGATACCTAAACCTATAACTATAGCTGAAGATGATTTGTATTCTATATGGACAATGAATTGTGCTTGAGCTCAAAGCTATTTGTCACAACTAGGCCGTCTTTATTAGAATAATTGACCGTGATATAATGCATGTGAGGTTGATTGATAGCCAGATCTGTAAGCTGAAGTCATTTCATTACACGGCCGCTGCCGGTCGAACTGAAAAGCAGAGTTTAAAGTGCATCATGCTACCAATCTTTTTTTCTTCTTTCTTTTTTTTGGCATGATGGTGCTCTAATTGATTTGTCGATGTCCAATACATATGGCTTCGTATCTACCAAAGCGGCGTTATGCAACCTACAGGGTTGAATCAAGAAGGGTAGCACTGGGTTCCCCATGTCCTGTATTGCTGCACCGTAAAAACTACAAACTCATCCTCAAAAGTCTCTCAGTGATCACTATCTGTGAATGTGCAAGTCTAAAATAGCATTGGAATACTTATCTCGAAGAGGAATCCATGGGGTTTTAATGTTGATTCGGACTGACTTGTGGCTGCGAACGGGTAATTACATCCGCACCTTGCAGGGCTGAGATCGTAGATTCGGGTATTTCCCCTGATTGAGCATAGGGAATGATTGAAACAATGTCAGGATCAGCACTGGGAGATGAGATGCCCAAGATTGCTCAGCATTATATCCGGGGCTCTAGCAATGGATGGGACAGGTAACAAGAAGTGAGTCTTTGTCGTCAGAACACAACAACTTTAAGAGTTGACTCGAAAACAAGATAATCAATGTTGAGTAGAGGGTCGTTTGTACTCAGTTCTGAGCTAGCTGCAGAAACGATGTCATGCTAATTGCCACATATAGCGCTGTGATGATTGATTGATTGATTGAGGCAGAAGGATTTCCTTGCTTGTCATTTATCTTGGTGACGATATTTGGGGGCCAGAAATATCATCCTTGCAACTGATGCACATCCTCCTCAACACCAAGCCACGAACTGGCCTCTGAGAAATACCCGTCTTTAGAATTAATCTAGAACTTCAGCTCAAGAGATTGTTAGATTTTGAAGGAGTAGCTTTACCCACAAAACTCAAGACATGAGAGTGTCACGTTTGACCAAGGCTCAAGCTACACAGCCCTTTTGAGAGGTCGAGACTTGGCTTTTGACTAGCATATTTTGGGTATAGATGGGCTGCATATCCAATTCGGTTTGATGGCGCCAATAAGCGCTTATGGTTAATTTCTTAGCTCCTCAGCCGTTCACACTTGTAATGAGCTAAGGCCGTTGGCCAAGGCTGGCTGTGTTTCGAGAGATGGGCTGACTTTGAATGATTGGCTCTTTTATGTGCTAGATATGGTGGCAGGGCTGATTACTAGTCGATTCGAAAGGCAATCCTTCATAAGGGTTGTCATCCAATTTCTTGAATTCTCTCACTACCTCCCTGTCTTCCTCTCTTACACCCTCCGGTCTTGGCTTCAGTTCAATTCTCCGTATATCGACTTCAGAAATGGGCTCCTCGATGAGATGGTTAGCTGTGGCTGCTCTTGTATCTTTCTCTCTTGACAAGACGAGTGCTCTTGAGTTTGATCTGCCACCCTCAGTACCGGAACCTACTTCGCCGGCAAGACTTCGTGCTATCCGTCATGTATATGCACGCGCAGACGCAACTACTGAGACTCTCAGCATCACTGTCGCCCCGGACAACACTTGTGGTTTCTACACGCCAAACACATCTTTCTTCTTCACATGTACTGGCGGTGTGAAGTGTATGTACGAGAATGACAAGTACAATGTTGCGTTTTGTGGTGAGAGGGACTTCAAGACGGCTTGTATGAACAGTGTCGATGCCTTGAACCCGGATAAGTGTGATGTGGACTGTAGACGGAACACAAACATTCAGAAATGGTGAGTCAAGTCCGAGTTTCACAATTGAGGCATTCGCTGATCTAATTGAACAGTACTGCCGACACAAAGACGGAGTGTTACACCATCTACTTCCCCAACAACATCGAGAAGTACCCTTGCCATACGCAATCAGGCTTCAGCAGCATGAACTTCCCTGACGGTGTAAGCGACTTCGAACAATCAACACTAGGCGTGGACGTCTTCCCAGCTCTGGCCACCACCGAAGCATCAAGCACAGAAGAATCCACTACCGAAGCCTCATCAAAGTCAACAACCGCAGCATCGACCACAACAGTCACAGGCGCACCCCAAAACGACGACGGTGAAGAAAACAAAGACAACAGTGGAAGCAGTACACCCGTAGGCGCTATTGCTGGCGGTGTCGTTGGAGGCGTCGCCATTCTCGTTGCCGTGGGCCTCATCATCTTCTTCATCCGTCGACGAGACAACAAGAAGAAAGCAGCAGCTCAGCCATTAATGTCAGACCAAGCACACACGCAGCCACAAATGCCGTATGGAATGGCCCCTCAACAACAACACATGCATCCTTACCAGGAATGGCACACTGGATCACCGCCTCCTCAGGGGTGGCAACACAGTCCTTCACCTCCCATCCCAGGAGCTCCAGTGCTAGTTGAAGCTCCCGATTCAAATACTGCTCAGATTCATGAGATGGGCGATGGAACCGTCAAGTATAAATAAGCATACGAAAAAGGGAGGGCATTGTTCTGGATTGGCGGAAAGCGATAGAAGGCGTTTTAAGTGCTTACTTGTATCGTCCTGTGTTGGACTAGCTCATATTAATGGCTGCGACTAGTTTCACTTCTCAACTCTTGTGTGTGTGTGTTAAGCTCGTGACTTCGTTTGATAGACGTGCCTTATTCGGATCAGATAAAAGCATAATTTGAAAGGAGGGTAGTGGATGGGTGGTCTAGATCTCTGAATGAAGATCTCCCGGCCTAGATGCTGGTTCAGTGGTGATGTTGCATGATCAAGATGAAGACTGCTGAGGAAGCAGGAAGACTCAGGACCTTTATCCTAAGTCATAAAAAGATTTAGGTAAACTCAAAACTGGCTTAGAAGGCCTTAGATGGTCGTTTGTATCAACTAGGGTAAGGGTCCCGAGTTTTGCTACCTTCCCTGGGACTCTAAGTAATAGACATTGCTGTATGTGAGGGGAAACTGGACTTAGGTAATAGCTGTGTTGGAAACAAGATGAACTTGTTCTACGACAAGGCAGACGCAGAACGAGGAGCTGACTCCTGCAAATTACTCTTCGATAGCAGATAGGAGAAGCCAGATCGGGAAGTTGAATAGAAGTAGCGGAATTAGTTAGAATTGGCAGGCCTATTACTCCGCAGATTGAACCAAGTAAGCGAGGTAATTGTCGTAGAGTTACGACTACGAATCTCAGCGACTCAATGACATGCAGCTATCCCGTCTCCTTGGTAACCCCGTGATCTGGGTCTTGTGCTGCCAAAAATAGCCAGGGGTTTTGTCCTGCCAGCGCTGTCGACCGTTTATGTCGGCTAAGCCAGTAGAGGCTCTAGCGCCCTTGAGTGGCCCGAGACCTCTGTGCTACAAGTGGAACATCCCGCTAAAGGTCCCTGGAATTCGCGGCTGCTCTCAATGAACTCTACTGAGGTTCCGTTGCAGCCGCGAGCGAGACGTGAGACGTTGACGTGAACCCTGCAGTCTCAAGTCTCAGACCCCGACCCAAAACTTTCAACTCGTGATCTATACAACATCTTATCCGATCTAATATCTCACCATTTCCTCAACAATCAACAACCTCAAATCTTCAGTATATCTTATATATCCGACCTCTGATTACGACCCCTATTGAACAAAACCTTGGATGACCTCATAACGCATTCCTTCAACATTCAATGTCAATGCCGCCGTGACGGTGATGACTCCCGTCGCTGCCCATACGACGGGCTCTTCCGATGCTGCCGCTGCCCTCAGGGGCGCAACACTCGCCTTCAACAAGACCAAACCCGCCCCTCCACCTCCCCAGAAGGACAATGGCGCCTTAAGTGCTGCAACATCAGCCGGACGTCCTCGAAGCCCTACCAAGAACCTCGGCGCGCAGAGCACAGGTGGAAGCACAATCGACAACGAACAATATGGACAAAATGGGGGATCAATAGCGGCGAGGCTGAGACAGCTGGGCCATAGTCCGGGCCAGCTTCATCCGAGTGCAGCTAGGGGAGGCACAGATCCCAAGAGCGCAAGCTTCATAGCTGCCACGCTGGCAGCAAGTCGAAGTGCTAGTCCGAGCCCTAAGGCGCGAACACCACGGAGGAGGACGAGTGTTGAAGGTTTGTCAAGCAGTGGTGATATTGTTGATTCAGGGCCTATTGCGCCTACAGGATCACTTATCTCAATGTTTGAGCAAAGCCGCGCGGGTGACCCCGTGAAGCGAAGCTCTCCCAAACGAATCCCAGCCAAAGTGCCTAAAGAACCGGTCGATGGCATCTCAGAAGAGGGGATAACGCAACAACAGGAGAGACCTTCACTGGAAACCAAACCGAAACCTAAGCCCAAGCCGAAGCCAAAACCGTTGACACCGGAACCTCGGACACCCATCAAACCAGCTCCGGAGGCATTGTCACCTAAGCCAGCGCTTCCTCCCAAGCCAGTTCTGAGCCCCAATCCTGCTCTGAGTCCGAACCCAGCTTTGAGTCCAAAGTCATTCATGAGACCAAAGACACCACCTCAGATTATTACTCGTCATGCAACCAACCCTATGCCGACGCCATCGCCGGATCCTCAGAAGCGCAATCCCAAACCTAGGGAACAACCAAAACAGCGACCTCCGACACCACCGCAGCCTAGAGGGACAAGCAAACCAAAGGTCGAGTCTAGGAGCGTCTTACATGAAAAGTCCCCAACTATCACACAAAAACGCTCCGCTCCCCCACTCGAACCTCGACTGTCTCGTCCAAGGACAACTCCGCCTACTCCTACAGAAGCACGGCCGACATCGGCACTGACAGTATCTTCGGACGATACCTTCGTGTCTGCATCATCTGTTCAGTCGCCTGTACGAGAATCTCCTCCGGTGATGCCTGTAAAGAGGCATTTCACGGGTAGTGTTCCGCCATCACCGACTCGAGATTTTCGACGCAGCCAGTTTCAAAGCTCATCAGCCACAAGCCTCCCACTCGAGTCTCTCACGAGCGCCATCGTGGCTGGTTCGCTCGCGTCTGCTCGTCTTACACCACACAATACGGGAGGCAGTCTAGCACCCCCATTACCTCGAAGGCAAAAATCACCTCGCATGATGCAGACTTTACGGCAGCCGCCCAAGCCTCTAGAAGAGGACACAGATCGACACAAAAAGAAGGGTTTGAAGCTTCATAAAGGAAAGCACGCGCACCACGAAGGTTCGCGAAAGAAGTGGAGAGAAGAAGTAACACCACGAGAGCGGAAACGATATGAAGCAGTTTGGGCCTCAAACCGTGGCTTGTTCCTTGACTTGCCCAACGCACCTCTCGATGCAATGAACGGAGACCCCTCAGAATATGTTCTCAACACAGTTGTTCGAGAAATTTGGAAGCGGTCCCGTCTACCAGCAGATGAGCTGGCCGAGGTATGGGACTTGGTTGACCGTAAGGGACGAGGCGTTCTGGGACGTGCAGAGTTTGTTGTTGGCATGTGGTTGATTGACCAACGCCTTCGTGGACGCAAGATCCCAGCCAAAGTGAGTGACAGTGTCTGGGGCAGCGCCAATGGTATACAGACCAAGAAACCTGGACACAAGCATTAGGGAGGTTAATTCAAATTTGTCCTTTTTCTATAGAGTGATACCCTATTTAAACTACTTGCCTATTGCCTATATAAACAATTGTTCATGTCCCTGCTATCTAATATTGATGAATAAGTGAGTTACATCGCTGATACAAAGAAAGAAGCACAGAAGAGTATAGGATAGGCATCAGGATTTATATACTCAAACATTTTCATAAGCAACGTCTATGTTCTAATATGCAAAATGTGCTAAGAAGATATAAACAGTTCATTTGCAGACCAGGGAAATTTGACTTGTCTACACAAGACGATCCCCATCCAGTCTCCATATTCAACACCACCACGTCAAGGTTTTATCCCCTGACATAGTTAATCAAACTCTAACAACTCATGATGAGCTAGCATACTCCTTGCTAGTCTTGTCACCAAAAGTGACGGTGACATTGTACTCGCTGATGGTAGGGCTTCCAGAAGCACCGTAGATGCTGAGAAGAGCAGCGGTGACGAGGCCCTTGCCCTTGGTGGCACCCTCGGGGATGGTGAGCTTCTTCTTCAGAGGCTCAATCTTGTTAGACTCCTCTGTTTGCTGTATTAGCAACTAGATCAAGAGAAATAGAGGGTGGGTTAGGACTGGGAAACATACTCTTTCCGAGGGCGAAGGAATCGGCGACTTGGCCGATGGTGCCGGGGTATTGAGACTCAGAAGCATAGCCAAAGACGATGGAGGAGTCGAAGACGCTTTGGATGTAGTTCTCACGAACGATGATGGCCTCGAAGGGCTCACCGACTGCGATCTCCTTGGGGACCTTGATACCGGTGATGCGGGCCTCAGCGAGAGCGAGGAGAGCGGTGGAAGCGGCGGCGATAGAGAAGCGCATGTTGATGGTTGTGAAGTTATCTAGGAGTATAGATAGTTGTTTTCAGGATGGAGTTGAGTTGAGTATAGGAGAGCAGAAAGGATTCAGTTGAAGAGTCGGTGATCCCTTTATATACATATACAACTCTCAACTCTAATATCATATTATTCATGCATGTCCAACGTGAATGGATACAAACAACGAAAACCCTTGCATATCCACCCCCAAGATCTATTTGCAGCTCATAGACATGGCATCCGTCATAGGTCGCCCCAATTTCCAATGCCGATCGCTACCAATCCAAAGTCAAAACATGGTCCTCAGCTCGGCAATTCAACAAGTTGGATACTTCCCCGGATCTGTCGGGGAGCAGATCTGACCGCTTGTCACAAAAGCTGATGCATTCTTTGTGGCTGCGCCAGAATCTTCTTTGGCGTTGACCATTGAATTCCAAGGCAACGTTGCTGCACTGTATCTGAAACTTGAGGCTAGCACAGGCCGATACGAGCTTGATCGACGTTGTGCACGCTATATTCTCCGCCCAATGGGGGCTGTACGTGGACAAATTGTGAGTCTTGAACAGGAATTAGGGATTATGAGTTGATCGAAGCTTCCATGAGCCAATCTAGTTACCGCTTCCATCTTGCGTTATGTCAGCTCACGATGACGCACTATCTGTTTATGCCCAGACTAGAGTGCGGATGTAAGTGCCGGTTCAAAGATATTACAGGGGGAATTACTGGCGAAACAAGGACCAAAGTGCCACTTTTTATATAATATCCTAGACATTTATACAAGGTTGTTGCACTGAGTTAGCACGTCAAGAGCTGCTATACCGCCGGCACATATATGTACATACTACCTTACATACTTAGTATATATCTTCGTCATTCCCCCAACCAATAACTTGCCGATACCCGAATCATGAAGATCACCTCGTGTTAATGCTTGGCTGATGTTTGTTCGTGATATTGCAAGGTAACATTACATTGATTTCATCACTTGGAGCTCGCTTTACTTGGAACAGATCGTTGATGACAATATATGCTGAAAATAATTCTATCGTTAGTACTAACTTTTGACTGCCAGGAGTATACTATGGTATCCCAAATTATTGAAACAAAGACGAGCGAGTATTCTACTCGTCCATCTCTTCGTCCTCAGCCGCAGCAGCAGCATCAGCCTCCTTCTTCGCCTTAAAAGCAACAGCCCACTCCTGGGCCTTAGCCATCACCTTGTCCTTGCCCTTGGGGTCTAGCTTCTCCTCCCAGTCAGCCCAGCGTCTGAACCACTTCTCAGCCATCTTGGGCTTCAAGCCCTTAACCCGTGTCCGTCTGTCGAAAACGTCACGGATAGCAGTGGGGTCAGCATCGGAGAGACCAATCTCGAGATCGAGAAGCTGACTCCAGAGATCACCCTTCTTGGGGTAGGCAGCCAGGAGAGTCGCAAACATAGTACGACCACGTTCGGGCTCGCCATTGGGAGATCGGAATTCTAGCGCGGCGAAGCGGCTCACGAGGGTCTGACTGTGACGATCGCCGAGTTGCTGAGTGGCTCGGGGCAGAAGAGCACGAGCTCGGTCAGGATCGTTGCGGGTAGCATGCAAGAAATGGGCATAGTTGAGCCAGACGTTGGGAGACTTGGCACCGAACTTCTTGACCATGGTTTCGAACAAAGCGTCGGCATCCTGTCATGTAGTTAGCGCGTGATGACTTGTGTGACGCATTATGAAGTAGCTTACCTTGAGCTTCTCGGACTGGATGTAGATACTGGCCAGTCGCTCATGGACCTCTTGCGCGTCGTTGTATTGACAAGCCCGCTTGAAAACCTCCTCCACTGTCTGCTTAGTTCCGTAGGCAACCTCCAAGTTGAGGTAAGCAACCCAGACGTTGAGCTTCTCGGTCTCTTCACGGATGTTGATAGACTTGATAGCTCGCTCAGCAACCTCACGGGCCTTGGAAAGCTCGGACACTTGCATCTGGAAAGCCATGTAGGCAATCCACAGCTCTGACGAGTCAGGCTGTCCAAGCAGTAATCGCTCGTAATCGCTAGAGGTCTGAGGGCCATTGGCATCCAGCTCAGCAGTTCGATCGACCTGGATCTCGTCTCTGTTCCGCCTCTTCTTCTTTGTCTTCTCATTGTCCTTTGATTGCTCCTCTGACTCTGATTCTGGCTCATCGAAGGGGTCGGCAGACCACTCAGACTTCTTTCCTGCACCGAGACCCTTGGACTTCTTCTTGGTCGGTTGGTCTTCCATTTCCACATCCTCATCATCGTCCTCCTCCTCTTCCTCCTCCTCGTCGTCTTCATCCTCGTCGTCTTCGTCATCTTCATCTTCGTCTGAGTCTCCGGCATTATCTGTACCCAGAATCTTGAGGAGCGCACCAGCATCATCCATGTCCACATCATCGTCACTGTCGTCATCATCGAGCTCAACACCAGCATCAGAGTCATCCATATCAGTATCGGCATCCTCGAAAAGTGAAGGTTTAAGTCCGAAGGTGACTCGTCGCTTGTTGATGTCGACTTCTAGAACACGAGCCTTGACAGCATCGCCTTCCTTGTAGAGCTTGGTGGCATCCTTGACAGGGTTCTCAGCCATTTGACTGCGATGGCAGAGACCACTGACATTATCGGAGTTGTCGATCAGGATGAAAGCACCGAACTCCTCAACCTTTCGCACCTTTCCAGTCACAACCTGACCCTCCTTGATATCGTTATAGGTAATGGGAGGGGTGTAGTCCTCGTCAACAACAGAAGACTTCAAGCTCAGCTCCACGTGGCGAGTCTGCTTGTCTACAGCAATGACTCGGCCCTTGACAAGCTGGTCAATTTGGAAATGATCCTTCCACTCCTTCAGATAACGATCCGATAAGTTCGAAATCTTAACCAGAGCAGTGACCTGTCCACCGAGGAGAACGAAAAGTCCCTTGTCTGAGACATTCTTGACAAATCCTCGGACAATATCACCAGCATCCAATTGAGAAACGTCGCTGATCTCCTTATCCTTGACTGGGAGTGTAGAGCTCATGATACGAGAAGGACGAGTTGATAGCCGGAGTCTCTTGTTGCTTGCGTCAAGTTCCACGATAGAAACACGAACGATTTCGCCCTTCTTTTGCTTCAGAGTGTTGACAGTGTCAAAGTCATCGGCCATGTCCGGGAGGTGAACGGGTCCTGACACAAGCTCGCTCAGCTTGACGAGAACCTGGCGCTCGTTGACCTTTGTGACTCGTCCGGGAAGAACCATGTTTTGCTTGAGAGCACTCCAAGTAACAGTTTCAGAAGAGCTGGAAGAGCGAGCAGACAGGTCCAGGCGCTTGTTGCGAGCATCGACACCAGTCACTCTCACCTTCAAGGCTGAGCCCACAGGAAAGTTTGCCTCGAGATCGTTGAGTTGAGAAAGGTCATCTGATGCTTCCATGGCAGAGATTCTACCACGGACTGAGGGAGAAAGATTGACCCAGAGATGTTGGGGGCTGGAATTGTTAACGAAGGCGACATAGGTGTCACCAACCTTGAGGTTCTCAAGAGAAAGGGGTTCGAGAGTCTTGGCCTTGAGGTCGCTAGGCTTTGCGGTAAGTTCGAGCACTGAGTGGAGGGATCGGTGAGAGAATGGCAAAAATCGGTGGTCTTTGGCGCTGTGGACTCCCATCACGCGTACTGACACGGTCTGCTTCTTGTGATATTTGTCCAGAGGGTCCTTGGGGTCGGGGATATCCTCCCACTTGTCGAAAATTTGAGAGACATCAATTCGGCCCTGAACCTTGCTGTCGACAAGCTGAACGTTGAGCTGTGTATCCTTGATGGATGTAATCTTAGCCTTAGCCACAGTCCCAAACTCAATATCGTCTGAAGCAGCAGGCTTGTCGCTGGCCTTGGCCTTCTTATCTAACTCGGCAGACTCGTCGAAGTCAGCAGGGGCCACCACGATACGCTTGTGATCGGGAATAACGGAGACAATCTTGACTTCGATTGACTGGTGCTTGTGCATGCCAAAGTCAGGGAGGTCCTGAATGTCTGCAGCAAGACGAGCCTTAGGAAGAAGGGCGTTCACGGCTCCGCCAAACTGAACGAAGACGGCTGTAACGGTAATGTTCCTGACAAATCCAGCAACAATCTTGCCTTCCTTAGCATCCTCAAAGCTGGTAAGCAAGGTCTTGTCCTTTCCAGCACTGACAAGACTGGGCTTGTGACTAAGAATAACAGCACGTCGGTTCTCGTTCTTCTCGATGATCACTAAGTCAGAAAGAGTCTGGCCAACAGCAATACGTTTGAGAGCATATTGGTTCTTGGATGTTGACTTATCAGTGAGGTGTCCAACAGGGAGGATAGCTTTGAGCTGAGCGTCGGCCAATTCAACGAAAACCTGATCCTCGGTCTTTTGTGTGACCTTGGCAGACACGATGTCACCAAGCTGGAGCTTCTTGAGGGCATTCTGCTTATCCAGGCCAAAAGCAGAAGGATCCTTGCAGGATACGACTAGTCTCTTAGACTCAGGCTCGACATCAAGGACATGCACGCTGACAACTTGGCCAGTTCGGAAATGCTCCTTGGGATCCTTGATATAGGCTTCACTCATCTCTGAGATTGGCAGGAATCCTTGGACAGCTCCAAAGAATTGGATGATAGCGCCGGAAGACTGGATCTTGATAATGGTACCAGGAATCTGCATACCAACACTAGCCTCTTCGTAAGCCTTGATAACTGGAGCTTCCGAGTTGACGAGTGTCTTCTTCAAGGTAAGGCGCATTTGCTTCTTGGATAGGTTGGTTGAAAGAACTCGAGCCTTGACCTTCATACCCTGTCGGAACTTCTTCTCGGGGTGTTGTAGTTTCACATCGGAAAAGTGTTGTTCGGGGACGAAGCCAGTGATTCCCTCGGCAACCTTGACGACGAGACCGCTGACACCCTTCTCATCAATAAGGACCTTCTCAATATTGCATGTTACAACGGCACCAATGGGAACATCTTCCAGTCTGAGATATTGCTGCTCAAGCACGGACTTCTCAAAAGATATTTGGAAGAGGCCATCCATTTCATTGTAGCCAATAACACGGCCCTTGTGCTCTGAGTCAACCTTATAAGGGCCGCTTGCTTCGTAAAGTGCTTCCACCTTGCCATCCTTGACTCGAGAAATATGGACAAATCCGCTCAAGCCAGGGATGCCAATATCGACGAACAGACCAATATCAGGCTCAACATGACGGACTGTGCATGTCTCAACAAGAGATGAGATGGGGAGAACCTGTGTTGGGTTCTTCTTGGAGTCGGTTGACTTGGTAGGTCGCTTCTTCTCGAGGGCGGTAATATGTGGAAGAAGGGAGATTCCCAGCTTGGGCTCTCTGGCACCAGGGAAGTTGCAAATTACTCGGGCCTTGACTCTTGAGCCAATCTTGTAAGCTGTATCCAAGCTCACACCAGCAGGACCAGCCCCAGATTGGATGATATCTGCAGTGACGTCGAGATGACCCATGATTTTTCCAGAGAGACCTCGTCGATCGGTATTGGAGATGAGGACATCTGCCATGGTACCAGGGAGGAAAGTATTGATGGTAGTGGCATCGGCGGGGACACTCTTGGGGTTGCCAATCTTCTTCTGCTGAAGTGAGAGCTGCGCGATCTTATCATTGGCACCCTTGCTGGTGACCTGGCACAAGAAAACAGCGCCTGGCTGCAATCTTTGCTCGTCGATGTTCTTATCAACCTCACTCTTGGCAAGGAAAGCACCGAGATTCTCAATACCGGTGTCCATCACAAAACCACGGTCCTCAACGCTGACAATAGACGCCATAACTGTAGTGTTGGGAACAACATCATCCTTCGCCAGGCCCGTGTTGGCCTCATTGGGCCGTAGGGACAATTCAATGCGTCGCTTGCTCTTTCCGGCAGTAGACTCCTCGGCAGTAGATGCCACGTACGCTCTCAAGTATTGACCAACAGCAAAGATAGACTTGAGGTCGATACCCTCATCATCCTCTGCCTCGTCGTCCTCCTCGTCGTCCTTCTCTGCAGTCTCATTCTCGAGACGGTCCGTCAATTGTTGGGACATGGCGACGATTGAGATGTGTCCGGTAAGGTTGTTTGGTAATGCGACTTCGAGATCGAGGTTGTTGATTCGTGTGACCTGTGCAAGAACAAGAGAGCCTTTGACCAGATTCTACATCAATGTCAGTAGGCAACGTAAATGAACGTAATAATTTAAAGTTACCTTGAAGCTCAGACTCTCAATTCTGACTGCTTGTTCCTCCTCTCCGGTCTTCTTGTCTGACTTCTTGTCACCCTTTAGGGCAGTCTTCCGCTTCTTCTTCTTTTGGACCTTGTTGCCAGTGTTGAATTCTTCATCGCGCATGGCATCAGCCTTGGCCTCAAGCTGAATCTTCTTCTGCTCGAGAGGAGTGAGGACGCTGGCACCGCCTCGAGGGAACATTGGCTCGTCTTCCTTCAAGAGCGACACAACGGGAGCCTTCTCGGCTGTCTCAGGACTATTCTTGGGAGCGGGTTTCGCATCTTTGCCGACATTTTCTTTTTTGGTAGGTCTGGCTTCTTTTGTATTCTTTGCCGATTTGGCAGGCGGATTGCCGCCGGGGGCGTCTTTTCGTTTGAGGTTGCTCATTGTGAAAGACGTTGGCGCATCACCAACTGTGCTATCTCACACTCTTTCTTTTTCTCTGTCGAAGCTGGATGGACTAAAATCTTTTTCTTATCGATAACGAATAATGGGGCTGTCTAGGCGGGTCCACTTCCCTGCAGTTACCCTTTATGGCGGGGGCCAAACCGTGCGTAGAACTGTAGCTGTTGGGTCTAGGCGCGGGTATCTGAATCAACACATGACGGAACTATGAAATTAGCACTTTGATAAAACAACAACAAAACATATAGACACACTTGTCATAATTCAAATCATTCATGGCATACTCACGCGATATTTGATACATAATGTTGCCACGTAAAAAGGCACGCCCCAATCCGGCCATATCAGCCGCGAACAACGACTCTCAGACCCTGGTCAGCAACTCAACAACAGAGGCCCCTACGTCACAATCACAGGCATCAAAGGCATCACCTGCAGTAGAGGCGGATCATAACAACAACGCAAAAGCGCCATCAACACAGCAGATCATGGGTGATCCAGGCTCCACAGCGCAGCACAAGAGCAAAGACGTCCGTTTACCTATTGTGATACCTTTTCTTGTTCATTCCACCATATCTAACAATACATCTAGGTTCGGAAAACGAAGAGCTGGTACGGTTCCTGGCAACGACCCTCCAAAGCCTCGGCATCTACATCGGTCGCAAAGGAAAACATTTTTGGAGGGTCCGTCAAGTTAAATAAAACATCAGATCTAAGTCGATACGAAGCGAGGAAAGGCGATGATAACGCTAGTATTCGAAGTACGGCCGGTACGATTAAGACGATGCCAAAGGTTTCCGAGACGAAGTCCGATGTGACTATGACAGAAGAAAGCGCGCAAGCCGAATTGCAGACTCAGAAAAAGTCTGATCCCGAGCCATCCCGGGAGTCCTTCAAGGTAATGGAGACTCGAGAGTCGTTAAAAGATGCAGTTATTGCAGAACCGACGCCACCCAAGGCACCCGAGTCGAAGACCGATGATAATCAAGGTCAACCTGATACTTGTACTGAAGCGCCCGTGTCACAAACGGACCCTCAACGTCCAGCAGCATCATCAGGGTGGCTTGGATGGTGGTCGAAAACACCTTTTACAGAGACGCAGGCTGCTCCAGCGCCTGATCTAAATGGTACAGCAACAGCTGAAGCCGAGGCCACCAAGGAAGTGGACGAACCGAGGCCTGTTACTCCACCCGCTCAAACGACATCTACAGATCAAGTCGCATCACCTAAAAGCATAAAGGCTCCACAGCCAACCTCTTGGTTCAGTTATTGGTATCCAGCGGCTGAGTCTGTCAAGGCTTCAGAGGATAAGCAGGACACTCAACCACAACCAAGTACAGATGCACCCTCTGAGGATGTCACGATGACGGAAACACCGCCTCCACATGAGCATGAGCCACCGCCCAAGGCTGGTTCAACTTGGGTGTTTTGGTCTAAGGAATCACCCAAATCAAAGGATAATACACCTATGCCGGAGTCAGGAGAAGTGGCAATCATGGGTGAGGGGTCAGAGGCTCATCCTCGACCTATGGCAGAATGCGACGTATCGCCAACCAAGGACCGCGTAAAGGCTGATGTGAAACCGAAAGAAGCTCAGGCGACGGTGAAGTCAGGGTGGATGAAGAAAAACAAGCGCGGTAGACCACAGTCGATGGATCTGGACCCTCCATCACCGTCTGTATCTGGCACTTCCACCCCTACCAGTGCAACACCCGCAACACAAGATATCGACAAAGCGGCAGTCAAGGCTGCTTCCTCTAGTCCGTCCATTGCCGAATCAGAACCATCATCGAAAACTTCTACGAATCTTCTTCTACCATCTTTCTCCAGTACTTACCACATGAAGGAGAACCCATCCATCTTGAAGCAACTGACACAGTTCCTTCTTCGCACACAACAAGCTCCCCCGAACCATGTTTTCCGAGTGGACAACCCCCCCAAGATTCGAAAGGCCATTGCAATCGGCGTCCATGGCCTGTTTCCTGCGACTTACCTACGTCCCATGATCGGCCAGCCAACAGGCACATCTCTTCGTTTCGCAGCTCTTGGTGCTGAGGCGATCCGGAGATGGACCGAGTCTCATGGATGCGATGACTGCGAGATCGAAAAGGTCGCCTTGGAAGGAGAAGGGAAAATCAGAGACCGGGTCGATAATTTGTGGAATCTTATGCTCAACTGGATTGACCACATTCGGAACGCTGACTTCATTTTGATTGCTTGTCACTCACAGGGCGTTCCTGTGAGTATCATGTTACTCGAGAAGCTTATTGACCTTGGCATTATCACTAACGCAAAAGTTGGTGTCTGTGCCATGGCTGGAGTGGCTTTGGGACCATTCCCAGACTACAAGTCTGGCCTGTTGATGGGCTCGGCAGCTGAGTTATGGGAATTTGGAAACCCAGAGAGTGACAATTCAAAGCGTTTCGAGAAAGCTCTCAAGCGGGTAGTAGACTACGGAACTCGTATCACATTCATTGGTAGCATCGATGACCAAGTCGTGCCAATGGAGGTTAGTTTATCTTGAACGTTGCATTTTTTCAGACCAGGTCAGCTAACATGAATAGTCTGCTATTTATTCACCAGCAAACCACCCTTACATTTACCGGGCTGTCTTCATTGATGGGCGTGTCCATGCCCCTGACTTCATTGCCCACTTGGTGGGTTTTGCTCTTAAGCTTCGCAACCTCGGCGTTTCTGATCATGGCTTGATCCGCGAGCTTTCCGTGCCTCTAGCCGGATCTCTTTACTCCGGCGCTGGCCATTCTCGCCTTTATTACGATGATGCAGTGTACGATCTTGCTATCGCTCACGCACTTGAGACAGCACCTGCTGGCCCATCACCACCACCCTGCACAATCTCGCCTCGCGGCGGACCTCTGACGTCTCAAAACCCGTACGTCTTACCATGGATCATGCGTGGACTACTAGAAGAAAATTTCGTGCGAACCGAGTTGAGCAACGAGGCAGATGAGTTGCTCAGGCAATTTGACGACTGGAAGCCTACCAACAAAGCTCTTAAGGATGTCAAGTATCGCCTTGAGGCAGTCCGGTCTAAACTTTGATTGGAGATTTGTGCAAAACATGATCTTATTTAATAGAAACGATGGGTGGCGAACAACGGGAATTATGGCGTATTGCGAATATGGCACGAATGCATACCCAGAATGGGAGGACGATACAGTCAGGAGTTGTCTGCTAACACTATATTTTTTTCATAATAAATTCTAGAACAAGAATTCTATAGATTCATCAGATTCGTCTGCATTTGTCTAGTGGTATACATTGAATTTTGAGTCTAGTAGAGTAATCGCGTGGGCTCATATAATACATATCTTCCAGATCATCACCTCTATGCTCCGGATAATGCTACAACCATCCCGATGTCCGTTCAGCCCTGTACAGACATGACAATCCCTCTCTATTATACACCCGTTCATCATTTGAGGATCTCTTGTAAGTGGCAAACGACACGCACCTCATGCATCGCCTATTTAGGATAATCATACGCTGCATCTATGTGCTGCCAAGCTTCCAGCTGTCGATACGATCTTGAATCTGATCCCAGCTCATCGAGTGGCTGCTCACGCCATATGCCTGAGCTTCCTGAAGCACCACGGTAGGGGCACCGCTTCCGCCACCAGGGTTCTTCACCTTGCCGCCGACAACCATCTTAGCCACACGGCGAAGGTCATCCACTGTAAGGTTCTCAATGCGACGGCACATATCCTTGACAGGGATCTTGCGACCATGGACCTGGATGGAACGGCCGAGATCTTCAAGCTCAACCATACGGCTCTCTAAGTTCATTAGGAGACTGGATCGCAACTGGTTCTTCGCACGAGCAACCTCGGTCTCTTGTAGGCGTGAGAAACCTGTTGTAAGGGTTAGAGCACGGAGCTCTTGGCACATAACGTCGAGCATGTTGGCGGTACGGCCAGGAAGACAGCTTGCTGAAATACCGAAGAGACCGGAATCAGTGTAGGAGTGGTTGAATGCCATGCATGACTCAACCCAGCCATGCTGGTTCAGGACATTGGTGTACAGACGAGAGTACATGCCCTTACCGGGTCCACCAGCAGAGAAAGATCCGCCACCACCAAGGAGAGTCTGAAGCGTGGCGAGGGCATATATGTCATCAGAAGCCACGGGTAGACCCTCGAAAGCGAGGTGAATATGTGTGAAAGTGGGGAGACCACTCAGATTAGGTGGTTGAGCGGGGAGTGAGAGGAAGCCCCCGGTGTATTTAGAGGGCTTTGTGATGTCGTTTTGGGAGGGGAGGTTTTGAAGGTTTTGAGAGGCGGAGGGAGTGTGCTTGAAGAATCGTGAGAGGAGACCTGAGGAGGACTGTGGTGATGAAGACGCTGAGGATGAGCTGGCTTCGCTATCCGATAATTCACTCTCACTTGTCTCAGAGCCAGTGATCTCTTGAACCTGTTCGCTACCCTTCTTCATATCACCGAAGAACTTTTCTGTCAATCGGACAGCCTCTCCGTGCTCGACTCCAGCATAAGCCACGACCATTCTCTCAGGTCGGTAGAAAAGATCTCGGTACGCCAAGACAGTATTTCTGTCAATAACACCTAATCTCTCCTCCGGGCACAGCAATGGGTTTCCGAGCGTGTTGTCCTTGAACGCAGCAGTGTGCACCAGCTCAGGCAAGATAAGTTCGGGCTTGCTCCAAATCTCTCGAATTTCATATCGCGCGGTCTCGATCTGCTCTGCTACCTCCTCCTCCGTAATTTGAGGATCGCGAATCGTTTCGGCGAGGAGTTCGATGGTCGGGGGAACAGCGTTGTTAAAGGTAGCGGCTTGGTACATCATGCTCTCTCTTGAAGAGGCACATTGAATGTTTCCACCTAGAGCCTCGACCTGTTCAAGCATATCGTCTGCGGAGCGCTTCGATGTGGACTTGAAAGCGAGACGGTCCATGATATGAGATACGCCGCGGAGAGAGTCGTTTTCGAATCGAGAGCCGCCTTCAATATAGACACCTACACCAGCGAACGATCCGGGGAGGGCTTCTGATGCAACTCGTAGGCCATTGGGAAGTGTTGTGACTCGGTCGAGTTCTGTAGGGTCCTGCTTCATATTAGCCAAGGGTTTCCAATACATATGTTATACAAAACACCTTCTCAATCCCCTTCACGTGAACGGTAGCCATAGATCTCCGCGCCAGCGAAAGCTTGGAAGCCTGCCCCAAGACCCGGGAGCATGACGCCCGGGCCCTGGTTGGCAGGCACTGAGTAAATGGACGAAGCATTATTATGTTGCGCCTACTAGCAATAATAAGAGAAAGACAAATCTCGATTCTAAACTAGCAAAATGAAAAAGGCGAAGAAATGCTCGGTTGAAGTATTGGCGCTGGCGGATGATTTTGCGACTAAAGTCCGTCGAAATTTAGCACAACCCCGGACAGGCCGCCCTCACTCGGCGATTAGGCCGGATCATCTCGGTGCCGGGAACGACGGTGATGACATAATGCCATTTTTTTTTAAATATCCAGATGTGAGAACGACAAGAAGAAGACTGAAAGCTTTCCGAAATTAATGAAAGGATATGAATTAACACTTTCCATCTTCCAGGGATAGTGTAGAAGCTGGAGATAGCACAGCAGTGTCAATTGTCTACGTATGCAGTGGCGTTATACAAACGCCTTCATGAATACAGCATCTGATCTTGCGAAGCTACACGGCATCTTTAGCATCTCAGTTGGAATGATATGAGAACAAGTCTATTCCATTAACTCCTGCTCATAGGCCCATATTTGGCCATTTGCATCCTATGCCATATAAACGTCCACTCTCTTGCGTCTAAATCTCCCTCATATATCTCTTCGAAGAATGAACCAGGACAACGCTGTGCCACACCAGCCCAAGCAAACCAACTCTGTATTCTTAGACAGATGGCTGTGTTTAAAACCCTTTGAACGCCTTTGCTGCCATGAAAACCAGGACAAACCAACAGAACGCCATATATGTGTAATGATTCCCAAGTGCCGCTTGACGGCCAAGTGGTCTGTATATATGCAATAATTTGAACCAGGCATTCGAATTAAGTCATCATCGAGCCGCGATGTCGTTTTCGCTTGTGTCTGGCTGTGCTGCGGCATCTATACTTGTCATTTCGCCTTCTGTAGCGCTCACTGTACGGCCGGCACTGCCATCAAAAACCCAAGGTCCAACATTATTTCGTGGGGTGATTGGTCCTTCAGTGCCACCTGGAGGTGACGGTGTTCGACTATCTCCCAGCTGGCCGACTCTTCGTGGAGCTGAGGCCGCATTTCTAATAGGTAAAGGCTCGGATATAGCATGGTTAACTTCATTTCGCTGAGGTGTTTCTGGTGTGATGTTGACAGTAACGTCCATGTGGTCGATGTCGGCTGTATGCGATCGCTCCGGTGTCGAAGTTCCAGAATTAGCAGCAGCAGGCACCGGATCCGTCTCTGGCTCAGTGTCGGCTTGAGCTGGAGTTGATGCTTCTGCCTCGGCTTCGTTCTTAAGCTGCTGCCATTCTTCGGCCAGTTCATCGACATCGGCTTCTAAATCGGCACCAGCTCGACAGTTGGGGCAGATGAAAATGGGGTATTGCGGGGAGTTGAGCAGTGATCTTACACACTTGAAATGCCAGGTGTGAGAGCAGGGTGCAACAAATAAAGATTGGCAGGGCTATATAATCGTCAGTAAAGTGAGCCGGAGGATAAGGTTATAAGGAAAGCTTACAGCAATAGAGCTCAAGCAAATGGAGCAATCTTGGGAGTTAGTACCAGCTGCTCCACTAGAAGCCATCGTCTGCAACCTCTTGTGCGCCGCCATGCTAATCAAAATGTCAGCATTCGAATATTTTCTCAAGACTCAAGTCAAGACATACTTAAAAGTGTTAAGCTTGTTCTGCCAACCACGGTTTAACTCTAGTCGCATCTTGACACAGCGGAAGATCATCTCTTCTCCACCTTTAAAGTCAATTCCGAGTTGAACGATATCTCCATCGTTGACGGGGAAAGCTTTGCTTTCCTGAGACGGTGGGCTTAGGCGAATGTGGTTCAGGAATGTACCAGAAGAGCTTTTAACGTCCTTGATATACCACTTTCCATCCTCGTACCAGAACTCGCAGTGGCGACGACTGACGACCTTGCTCTTGAAACCCACGGGTGCAGCTGATGGCTGATTACCAGGCATATTCGACATAGAATGACTATCGCGTTCTGAGTAACGACCAACACGAATCTTCTCAGACCCCGTGGGCAGAGTTCTGGAGATAGGAGGGAATGTCAGGGACGGGCGTGTAGAGCGCGGGTCGTAGTAGGCTGAGAAGCGAATTGATGGGGCAGTTTCGGGAGTCGACGAGCCCCCTTCGCCAGTGGTGGCTGATCGCGATCTCGTCATGGCAGGCTGGTCCTGGTTCGAGTCGACTGTGCCAGCGGCTGCGGAGGCTTGAGTATCTGCAGTCATTGATAATTCTGTTGCAGCGGTAGCGGGGTCGTTGATGTCGGCAGAATGCTGTGAGGAAGCCCTTGGTGATTCAGTAGAATTTGTAGCAGCGGAAGCAGCAGCGGAAGCGGAAGCGGGAACAGAAGTAGGAGGTAGTGCAGGTATCGATGTTGTGGTGGTCGCCGATGTCAAATTCCTCACGGGATCGGGTGTCGAACTGACGAGTGTCAAGTGGTTGGTGTTCTGGGCTCCAGTGGATGGTCCACTTGTAGTAGGCGAATGGCTGAGGGATCGCGTGAGGCTAGAGCCGTGTCGATTAGGGGACGTGCTTCGTGCGCTTGCTGTGCCTGTGCCGCCTGCTGATCCAGTGCTGGAGCTGTTATGGTGGTTGTCGCGAGACAATAAATGATTTTGTGTATAGTTGCGCAAGTAACTCAAACCTCGGAGGCGACTCGGTCTTGAGGTGGATGTGGACGACGACTGTGGCGGGCCCGTGGGCGTGGAAACCACTGGTTGAGTAAACATATTTGGAGAGGGAATTTAGAAAAAGGAAAACAAATATGTAACTGGACGTATGTAAGAGAGAGCAGGGCCCTGTATTAGGTGGGTGCCTGCAAGGGTATAGCTTTTAAGCAGAGTGACAAGAAAGACAAGACGACGGGAAGGGGTGTAACTGGAACAGAAGCAAATGCAAGTTCAAATGCAGATGCAATGGCCAGGCGCTGGTAGGTATTTGAGTAGATCAGACCAACTCTAAATCAGAGCCAGACGGAGCCAACCGAGAAAGGGAGAAGCAGTAGAAAGCGGCGCAATCTGGACTTGGACACTATCAGGTCAGGCAAGAAAGAGAATTGCACTGCAGAAAGACGAAGCTTAATTTCCAGTCTAACCCTTGCCTTGCTTTGTTTTGCTTTGAATTGAGTCTTGTCTTGTTTCTTGCTGTGTTTGCTGCAGACGGCGATGTGACTGAAACCTTTACTGAGACAGACGCTAGCTTTGGTGTTGCAGAGTATTCGGTATGACGAGAGGGTTGGTAAGAGAAACAGGGTCTTATGATGGTGTGCGCATATGAAGCAGGCGATATCACTCAGGTTTATCGTTTCGTCTACTGTGGTCGTTGATGGGAATTGCTGGAGTTGAATTGCCTTCTCCTGCCGTACCGTACGGTTCAGTTCCGCCTTGCAGATCAGTTCTAGACTTGGGGTCGATGGTTCGTTATTCCGTTAGAGGCAGGGAGGTAGTCCTATGAGGAGGGAGGATTGATTCCGACGCAAGATTCGATGGCAATAACGGAAAAGCAAATAAACAAGACCAAAAACAGTTGAGGAAGCACGAGGTAGAGAGAAAGAAAAAGGAAGAGGGAGCCAAAAGTTGGAGGTTGGTGAGTTGATTTACGGGCTTGGCTTGGCGATACGATGGATTAGAAAAACAACAGTGGCGGCGGTACAGTATTTCGTACAGAGCCCGTTCAGCGGGTGAAAGAAAAGAAGACCAGTAAGTCCGTGACGGAACCTGCTGTACTTTCTTTCACCATACCTGAAGAACCGGGGATCAAGACAGGGGGGTGTCATGTTCTTGAGCTGACAGGGGCATCGAGCTTGATTCGTTCTAGTGATTGAAGGGGGGGCACTCCTCCAGAATAAGAGAGGGGATCGATCAGGATATGGGTCCCCTAGCGAGAACGCCCGAGCAGAGAGTGAGATCCATGAATTCTTAGCCAAGGAACGAACAGTTTTGGCAGACGTAATTGTAAACAAAGGATAGTATTTTGCAAGGTTGAGCTTATGAATCTTTCATCATCAGTAAGGTTCTTGGTAGCTAACTCAACAACATTAACCATTGAAACCTGATTCTCTGCATGCTGGCAATCCCCCAGTAGGACTCATGTTAGTCTCAGTAAAGATTGCACTAGTGGCCCATCGAGAACAGGCAATTACAAGGATCATCTACGAATAGCGAATTGGTTCATGGCGATATCAATCAACATTGCCCTAACTAGAAAAGCAGGCAGCATCACGCACGCAGCCAAGTGATCAAATCTGCCTGCCAGTCAGAACGTGATTCGGGGTGGCCGCTCCAGAACATCTCAACTTCACTGACTCTTGAAAAAAGGCGTCTTGGCAAAGTATAGTACGTAGAACAGGGGTTCAGTGTCGGAAACGGAGCGCGGATCCTCTTTTGGAGGTGGCCAAATACTTTACGACCTCAGTCCTTGCTGACACCATCAGTGGTAATCCTTCAGTTACACGACATGTGCCTCGTCATCAAATATCGGTAAGAAAAGTCGCTGGTAAGAGACCCTTAAACGATGCAATATCGATTGCCCTGAATTTCATGCCTCCATGTCCCTAAGTAGCTCCACAGTCTAGATCCATCATGACATACATTCTCCATCTTTCATACAAGATATCCCCAGCTTAAAGAAGGCCATTTTCCACAATTAACATCTCCCAACCGCTACCCAATCTCTCATACCCACTCATTGCCCGTCTTAACCAAAACGCCTCACATGCTTCTGGAAAAAGAAGCGTCCCTCAACCGTTTCTCAAAGTTCCTTTGGTTGAGGCTTAAACCTAGGTTGAGTTACACCTCGGGCTTTTGGTGCTGGTGTTTCTGATACCGCCACCAGACTCTTCGAGACCTTACACCATAGCCCAAAGAAGAACAGGGCTTAAGCTTACGATGCAAGCAAGCAAACAAAAATGCTTGTGAGGCAAAAAAGGGGGTAACGTTGAACCGATGGATTGAAGTTTCTCTCAAGTATCGCGATAATGAAATTCACTGACATAAAGTCTCCGAGTTTGTGTTACCTGAACAGTTCCCCAGCTATTACCTTACCTTGCAGTTGGTTCTGTACATGCCGAGGTCATCCCCACATCGGAGCCAAAATGTAACCCATGATATCATCATCCTACCCTCCCTCTTCTCAACCTACAGTACTGTACAGTACGATACAGGGTCCTTAGCTGTCATGCCACCAACAGGCATCATCTGCTTTGCTCACTATGGAACGGTTTCGGTAGATCCCGATCAAGCATAACGTTATCTTAAGCTCACACGCGAAACCCTCTATCCTGTATTGATGTCCGCTAGTTCCGCTTAATGTCGACTAATGTTAGGGTGCCAAACAGTTATCGTGGATCATGAGACACCAACAGAAACATGACTTGCAACTAGGCACGTCACGAGACCCTGGGAAACATCACGCGAATAATCGTGATATCTTCCGAAACAACTGCAGACTCTCACATTCCAGTCGGTAAGTGCGTAGCTGTATTGAGGCGTCAATTCTCAACGCTCAATAAACAATCGTAAAAAAGTATTCATCAATTTTATGTCCCATCAACTATGCAGCCACTGCAGTAGATGGCTTGGTTCATAGCTGCATGGCGTTGAACGCGGTTCTGATCGTATCATAGTGTAACTTGACGAGAGTCATAATCGATCATCGTGGCTGCTTCATGCCTGTGGATATTCTTGCTATGAAAGTACGGTGAAACGAGTTATATGTGCCTCTAAGAAATTACAGCAGAGCTGGCTCTACTTCTTGAATACGGATTGGCCCAGACGCTCGATCTCTCTTCCCTCTTGTGACCCCTTTCCTGCAGCCTCCAAGAGCCTCTCCCAAGACTCACTGTCCTTGAGTCTCACGGCTTCTTGCGCGGCCTTCACCCGCATCCCACATTTCTCATACATGGTGATCGTCTCTCCAGCTTCTACTGATGTGCATTTGGGTACAAATACAGATGCTAACCGTGGGTTACCTGCTTGAAGCGTGAGGTTGAAGAAGGGCTACGATTGTCAGTCTCAGATCTCACTCCACACAGTTCTCATTCTATAACTCACCTCCCAACCAATGGGGCTTCTCCTTGTCTTGGAGATCTCCTCGATCTCGTTCCAGTCTCGCTTCGCAACTAGTGCTCGTAATCTGCAGGAACAAGTTAGCCGTTGTCCAACATTGTCGTCCCGAAGCCAGGGCCTGTTGGAGACAAGGTCCACATACCGAATCCACCACGCCACTTTCTCGGGGACTTTGAACTCGCTCTGGATCTTCTTAGCCCGTCCGTGGTAGCCCAGTCGAATAAGCTTAAACATGGTTTCATTGACGCTCAGGCCAGTAAAAGTGTCAGTCAAATCCCGGTCGAAAGCTTCCTGCATGCGCAGAAGTGTCGTAGCCTCCTTCAACGCATGAACCTCGAACGTAGACTCCTTTGAATCAGCTAATAGCTTTGCTGCCAGTGCCAATTTGTCAGACGCTGTTCGAGCATCAGGTTGTTTCAATGATTCGCGGATAAAAACGTTGGCACCATCTTCTCGTCGGTCATCTTGATAATACAGGTCCTTTAGCAGCGTATTGTCACCCTCTTCCATGGCCAAAGCTTCCACCAGTGCTGTTGCTGTCGGTCGTGCATTGATGACCCTGAAGAAAGCGGCGAGGGGCAACTTCTTCTTGAGCTGCAACAAAACTGACAGTATTAAGTCTGTGTCACCGCTCTCAACAGCTTTGTCGAGAGCAAGCTCGTCCTCCTCCATACTCAAGAGAAGAGGAACCTGTCTACCCCCACGAGGCTCATGGTTGAGAAGTTCAGTAGCAAGTCGGCCCCTTCCTTCTTGATATGCTGCACGAGCGATCTCCTCGAAGGAAATTCCAGGCTTGCCAGATAGTCTCTCCACGATCAACCGGCAGATGGTATCGTCATCCTCGCCACCTACACGGACCTTGCTAGACGCCCAGTGTACATAGATTCGATCTGTTGGTAACTTCAGATAGCCTGCAATCTTCAAGGCAAGAAGATACTCGTGTCGGTTGAGCAATCGTCGAATGAGGCTCTCTGGTGTCAAGCGGTGATACTGTTCAAAAGACAGTGGCATGCCAACTTCATAATATCGCACAGCGTTGAGCACGCGTAGAGTCTCGCACATGTCAACAAAGTCGTCACTGTTATATATATCGAGTACAGATTTGCCAAATGAAGCTGCTTTGAGTAAACGTTTCTGCCAGTGGGTATCAAATTCGCGCCCAGCTGCATTGACACAAGTGTCCACAGCCCCGGTAAGATTAGGTCGTATTAGTTGGATGTAATCATCTGCTTTTGGAGACTCAAGCTCCAGTTGGCCTACAGCGTCGAGAAGAATCGAAGCAGGTGATGAATCTGAAGACTGGCCAAAGACTTCGAGAGTGTCTCTAGGCACTCTTTCAAGGAACTCGCAAAAGTCATTTGTAATTAGTCGGGCACCATCGTGTTCTATAAGAATATTAGTAGTCTAGCATTGAAGTTCGATAAGGCACATACCAGAAATGACATGTACGCGTGTGCTATCGTATATATATGAAGATGAAGAGTCGCCAGGTCCGATAATATGCACCTCATCCTCCCAGGCAATGAGGGCATCGGACCCGCACCATTCAACATATAGAGGAGGTGTTTGAGAGTCAGAATCGTGTTCGAATAGCCGTTCTTGGAAGTCACTTGATATGACATGAGCTTTCCCATTCACAGCATAAAGATTGACGTAGCGACCATCCGGAGATACACTAATATGGCTGAAAGGCCCAATATCGAGGAAACGGTCTTCGCAATCAGTAGCATCGACGACGTATACAGTCTTATCGACGCTTAATAGTACCTCGACAGACCTAGATAATGTGTGGTTTGGTGAAATAATTGACCAAGCGTGGATCTCGCTTTCCGGTATCTTAGCAAGAGCTTTGGGTCGGGGTTCAGTATATGATGAGACTGTGACGAGTGAGTTGTTTCCAAGTAGTGCTACCATGCCATGGTCGTAGAAACTGCCACTTGTCAGTCGCGGAAGTAGACCATATCACTAAGAGGCACCTACCGACATGACTCGACGCTGTAGTTATCGGCACCATGGCCAAGGGAGAATTGTGTAAAATCTCCTTGCAGATCATAACAGCGGACCGTACCGTCAGTGGTAACAACGAGTAGAGTCTCGTCTTCAGACCACCCAAGGCCTTTAATGGTACCATTATCCCAGGGGATACTTCGGAGTTTCTTACCGGCAAGACTGTAGATGTCAATTGCTGGTTTTGCTGATCTTCCTGGTTGATATGCCAGAAGCTTTGTGTCGTCGCGCCATAGTGCTGAGGATGTGGTCAGTTACAATTACATCAACACTAAGTTAATCATAAGTATATTGGAAACTTATGATTTAATGATCTTAGATTTCTGTGGCTTAGAACTCACCTAGTGCTCCTGCATATGGAGCTCCCGCAACGATATAATTATCCAAGTCGAGATCTTGGTCAAACACAGCTGTATACTGCTGTGTCTTGCGGAACCATCTGTCCCCGACACTCTCCCAGTCAGCTCTGGCGTGAAGTGTGTCCATCTCGCGTTATCTCATATTGTAACCCAATCTTTTTGAATTTGTTGAGGAAGAGACGCGCCTGTAGCTGAATGTTATTCGTCAGCTAGGCACCTGTACAGTATGAAAGAGAGCAGGGAGCTTAGGTGCTGCATCATACCGTAGCTCAGGTAAGTGGAGGTTGCCAGGCGTACGGCTATTCTCCGGCTGGAATTAGCGGTCGGGTAGCTCCTTGTCCCGCTAATTTTAGGTTCCTTTCGGCGGTTGCATCATCTCACATGGCGGGAAAGAATGAGCGGTGCAAGTGCATCCAAGTCACTCTGTCGACCCAACTCATTCTCTCATCACTTTTACTCAACCTAATTTCATCCACATCGAAATCTCATCATTTGTCGACCATCACACACATCATACTGACTGACAATGCCAAACTGGCGTGACCAGTATCTCTCATCCATTAAGGATGCAGAGCTCAGTAATCCCGTCAACATGGAGCTTGTTCAGGCTTGTTCGTAACAGCACCCCCACATAACCCCTCCTCCAGCATGCGACAGTATCACGCGAGGATACGAAAGGTTCATCAAACTGACAATTATTTCAAGGTTCGCAGATGGCAGACCGCATATCTGCTCTTGAGGCTGAGAAGAATGGGCTAGAAGCGCTGGTCGCAAATAGCGGGACGCCAACTGCGCAACCCACTGAACCCTCAACAAACGATCCTGGTGTTGCGCAACTAAAACAGGATCTCGCCGAAGCCCTTCGATCAAAGGGTGTTACCGAAAAGCGATTACGCGCGGGCGAGGAAGAGTTGATGCAGCTACGGGCAAAGCACAAGGCAGATACGAAATCAATCCGCGACCTCACGGCCGATAGAAATAGTCTTACCACCAGACTAAAGGATCGAGAATACGAGTTGAGGGAAAAGCGCAAGCTTATTGAGGTACGTGTGACCCAAATGCTGCAATTCAACATCTTCGTTGCTCACAGCAACATCAGCAAGTACAAGATGAGATGATTGCGCTGAATCTACAAATGTCCATGGCCGAGAAGGAAAGAGATAAGGTGAAGAAGGAGAACAAAGAACTAGTGGACAGATGGATGAAGAGGATGGCACAAGAAGCAGATGCTATGAACCTCGCCAACGAACCCATCTTCGAAAAGGGACGATAGTCGACGGTCCATGACGCAAAACGAAGCAGGTCAAACAGAGAAAAGAGCCACGATGTCACCGAAAAAAAAAAACAAATACTATATGGAGTATCCTGTAAGTCCGAACATATCCTTATACCCCACGCTGATGTATCCGTCTGCCCTATCCCTATTTCTCCAACACCATAATCTCTGCCACTGAATGCTTATGAAGCTCTATAGTCTACTTACGCGTCGAAATGAAGTACGATCCTCCTGCATTAGTCCAACTCACATAACCCTCAGGGTATGTGCACTCTTCCACCTCCAGGATGGTGCTGCCAACGTCGTTGATGTTGTGGTTGTTGCTCTTTTCCGCGACAAAGGATTTGAGCGACACAATTTTGCAGCCCGATTTAAGATCCAGGAACATACGGACCAAGTCATCGTTCAACTGTGAGGTGAAGGCCTTGTTGTTTACGAGCACAACATCTGCACGCTTGAGGGCCTCATGGATGGGCAAGTTCTTGCGGAAATCGCCTCGTTCCAGGTGAACCTTGCCAGGTCGAACCCCCCAGAGCATGCATCGGGCATCAAACTCCTTCTTTTGCTCCTCAGCAAGATTGCAGGCATTCTCCATCATCTCGCAACCCCAACTCTCACAACCAATCTCGAGAGCCGCTTGCAAAACCACATTACCAACACCTGAGCCGAGATCAACGAAGACCTGACCAGAGGTCATTCGTGTCTGCTCTACCAAAATCTTAGAAATGAAAGGGTGGAGGAGTTCGCCATAGACATAGTCGGTTCCGTTCTCATACTTTGAAAGAAGTTCCACCTTTAGGGCCACTGTTCGGTCATAAATTTGATCGAGAATGAAAGCCACAAGGTGCTGGGGGAGCTCATGCATCTTATCGAGGTTCTTGGCAATTACACCGTCCTCGACTAGAGCACGAAGCTTTTCGTTGTATTCGCGCAGAGCTGCCTTGAACCCCATCAAATCCTGGATGTTCCGGTTAGACGCCTTTTCAAGTCTTCGAATGATACCACCATTAGGATTTGTGAAAGGCTCTGCTTCCTCTTCGGTGAGGTATGTTTCGGCTACATGGCGAACCACCTTGATGCTAGCTTCGACGGCATCGATCTTGTCTTTTCCCCATACTAGCTCATACCTGTAATCATGTCAGCATTAGTTTTGGAGTTCGGGGTCGCCGGGAAGACTCACTTCTCTCGAGGTTGTAAGCTGGGATATTGTAGTCGGATAGCTACATCCTCTTTCTGTGCGCCCATCACAGGTACGCACTTGTGCTCAAGCGAGGCCACATCCACGGCATGAATGAAACTTCGACTGTCCATACGATCCTCAAAGGCTCTTACGCTTCTCAATTTGCGGTTAGGGTCAACAAAGCTGCCGTCTTCCGTGCCTTTGCGTTGTCTCTTGGTATCGAGAGTCATCCATCCATCGTCTTCGCCATCACTGTCTTTGTCGAACTCGATACGGTCGCTAGCCGGTGATCGACGGGTGACGGACGGTGCCTTGCGCTTACGCTCGAGTCGCTTCTCGTCGGAAGATGAGGGGTACGGCGAGTGACTAGCCTGTCGTGCCAGTGGTTTCGGCGAGGGACGGTGAGAAGAGGAGGAGCGCGATGCTGAGCCGCTGAGTGCGGAAGTGGATTTAGGCTTAGGCTTCTGAGCAGGTCGGTCGACGACAACCTTTTCGATCCTGATCTTGGGAGGGTCGACCTTGATCTTGTTGTTCTTTCCGCCGAAGAGACGCATTATGAGTGAATAGTAGGCCGGTCCTAGTAATCCAAAAATGTCTTTGAAGGTAGAGCAACGACGGGGTCTGACTTGAGTTGGGTCACAGGTCAGGGATGGAGGGGTTCGCGGTGGCGTGTGCGTGTCGCTCCCGGACGTCGGCAATGTCGCGCAACGGGTGGGACTAGATTAAAGAAGAGGGCAAAAACAAGAGAGAAGAGTACGAGAAAAGGAACGTGAGAAGTGAAGTACGGGGGAGAAGTTTCAAAAAAGATAAGCGGTATTAGACAAGTATTGGGTAGGCTCTGTTGTAACGTGACTCTTCAGTATCGCATCGTTGCACTTTAAAGATATGCAGAGTTCAAGTTTCGAGGCGACTTTCGGCAATCCACCACGAAATGGCTGAATGGCTGCCTTCAGTTAAATGAGTGGATGCCCCGGAGCCTTACATCAGCTGGGAGGGAGCTGGAGCCGGGGCCATCTTGCGCTGCAGGAGGTCCCCTGGAGGAGGCCGCTAGTCCCACTGTAAATGCCCTGGATTTTCCAAGGTTGAAAGAAATATCTTGACTGGTCAGAATTTTCAAGGTGGGTACGTAACGTTGGGCACGTGGGGGGTTTCCCTTTCAGCCGCAGATGGTTGCCTGGGGAGTTACCCTACAGTGGCCATGTGAATAGAGGCATTCAGCCTTTTTATTGAGTCATCTTTTACAAGCATTGCATTTTCATCTGTCTATCCACTACCCATCTTCTTTAACTTCTACCTAACTTGTTGTGTATCATGATAGTCTGGTGTAACTGGAATTCGCCATAGCAACCATAGCCTTTTTATTCGCAAATTCAAGCAATAGTACACATTTCAATCGCTATTTCCCCATGATTACTCGATAACTCCCCTTTAATGACACGAACAGTTATCAAATAGGTTAGAACAATGGGTAATTGCGTTAAAAGCACCCTCTTGCCAGTATAGCTCGTTGAACTCAGCTTGCACCTCGCAGGACTCATGATGATCGTATGTGTGCTCCTCAGGCAGCTCAAACTCAGCTATATTGATCTCGCCCTCCAGGTGGAAGTCCAAGGCATGCATCTCATGAGCCTTCGAGAAGTGAGTTGACCTATGAAAAGAGGTTAGTTATATACATTATCTATGTAGGGGTTTGTATAAGAACTTACCGAAATTTGATCATTGGCCCACCAACACAGTGGTCGACAATGATATGAATGCCACCGACATCGACATGTCCGAGTTTGCTGTTGAGACAAAGACGCTCGGGACGGACTTTGACTGGGATACGAATTCCAGCTACTTTGATTGCATATTCCTTCGGCCTCTGAAGGGGATGCTGAGGGAGTGCCTGACTGTAACAACATTTCTCGCACTCCATATAGTCTTTGCCTTTGTCACCCATGAGGATTGCGAGAGCCTTTGGGTGGCAACAGTCGGGAACGGGTCTGGAAGCCTTCTCCAAGGTGGTATAAAATGGGTTTAGGACGTAGGGTGGAATATCCATACGACAATGTGCCTTGTCAACCTCGATGTACTTACCCTTACATGGCAACTCATAGTTGGTACATAATGAGCACTTCAGAGGGCGGTCCTGGTTTCCAAGCTCACAGATGGGTCGCTCTCCGGTAGCCTCAAGGATTTGTATATGGTTGAGCTTTACCCGATCACTGGCATCGCTGATCCCCTTGTGTAACTCGACTTTGAAGTCTTGAAGACCCTTGACAGTCCAGGTCTCATCACAAACAGGGAGGGCCAGTTTTGAAAAGTGAGGCTTATGAGTCAAGCCAGCCCTGACAATCTTCTGAACCTGATGGTTGACCATGGATTTGCGCCGAGAGCACCAGCTCTCTGCAAGTTGCATGAAATGCTCCACGCAGAGGGTTGAGAACTCATCGTGAGGATAGGCCTGGAAGAACTCAAAGTCTCGTTGCTGTGCGATCTCTTCCCAGCTTTTTGTAAAACTTTCGCATTGGAACGACTTAGGTCCAAGCTTAGACACCTTCTCTTCCTCATTTTCGCTGGTCTCGTCCTCCTCGATAGCATCTGAACCGGCAGGAGTTGGAGACTGAGGAGGTACATAATCCTCGTCTTCAATGTCTGCCAACCAGTTGAGAGTTTCAGGGCGAGTCACGGCCCTGGAAATTGAGGTTGTTTTTCTCAGCTTGAGCGGGACCGGGCTATCGCGGCATGTCGTTTTACGCTTCGTCTCAGGTGGTGTAGATAGGAATACCGGGCTAGATTTAGGCTTGGCTTTTATAGGTGCTGCAATGGGTGATTCTGGTGTTGTTGATCTGGTAGGGGTTATCAGTGAAGCTTCAGAAACTGTTCGTGTTTCCTTTGTCTTCGACCTAGTACGAGGTGTGGTAGTCATGATGATGATTTGCGTATAAGACTGTTGATGTTGCATGAAATTGGTGTTTATTCACCTTATGGAGCATGTAGAGCCTCTTATATTCAAAACTATGAAGAAACGCTTGGTGATTCCTTGATCCTTTGCTACGTTGTTCACTGTCTTTGAAAGATCCCATTCAGTTCAAACAAAGATGACGCTATACTGGCCATTCTTTATTGGGCTCAGGCGTCTAAATAAAGAGAACATCGCTCAGAGTAAAGAAAATAAGCTCCAACAAACAACAAAAGTTCATTGTGTTAAGGGTTTGAAGCCTTTGAGGGTGTACCGCAGGTTCGGTAGTTGTTCCGATGGAGTAACACCGAGGGTAATACTTCGCTACGGTTTTTCATAAGTAACGAGCAAAGTAATATTTAACTAATAAGTACAGTATCTAAGTGTTTCCAATGGTTGAAGTGAATGAAACTCGGAAGCGTGGTAGTCTGCATGCTAACACACGGAGAGCCTCCAAAGCTCCTCATGTTGAACTCATAATAATTGGAGCCATAAAATATCATAACCAACCCAGAAACAAATCTATGAGCTTTTTTCTATTTTCTGTAATTAACGTAGAATCATGAATCATGTAAGTTGATGTAAAATGTGATCATCTTTGTCGTAGTTCCAATCAGAAGACAAAGGCATTATGGATGTTCGTAACAAAGGCGTTAAACGTGCTTGCTGTATCCGTCGTGGTGAACACGGGCTGAGAGTAAAGACTCCGTTCCTTCAGATTGAGGCGAGTTCACCAAAGTTTCTGACCAAGAAACAACGGAACTGTCACTTCTCGTGCTCAGTCGACCATATCCGTGGTCTGAATCAGCAGGGGCTGAGGTGTCGATGCGCGGGAGACGTATGGCCGCGATCTTGTGTGTTGTCTTGGAAGCCTTTGGCCTCTTGATGCTTGAGTCAGGAATAGTATAAATGAGGCCAATTGAGTTCATGTGTGCTTCAGTCTCACTGGCGGTGGGCGACATGGGGCTAATGCATGTAATGCGAGATGACCCTCGGCTCTTTCGCCTCAAACTGCCTAGAGACAGAGCTCCAGAGAATCTGGAATCCACGATAGTGTTTGGTGGAGTTCGGTAGACACTCAAAGAGGACCCAGCTCTTTCGACAATGGGAACAGCCCATTTCTTAAATGTTGGGAATAGCATGGGGATGTTTGTTGTCATGATGGCGACAAAGGTCTCACGAACCGCCCAAGAAGCTGCGAGTTGAGGGCCATTGATTGGATCCTTGTTGATGTTAGATGCATGTAGTGGGACTTATGGGTTGAGGTATACTCACAGATACAAGCAGCACAACCCGAAGGATAGCGGCCATGGTGACAAACAACCCACAGCTGAACAGAGCAATCAGTCCGACCTTTTGAGGCCAAGGCATAGCAGCCTTCCAAAGCATGGGCATAGGAATCATGATGAGGTAAAAGTCAGTTGCCAAGTTGAAAGCGAGACAAGTCCATATCAAAGCAGGCGAAATGGCAGCATGGCAGAAATCTCCAGGGTCAGGGAAGATCTGCCACCAGTGGTCGAAGGGGCGACAACTGAGAAGAAGGTTCATCTGCACAACAACAAAAGAAGAAATGATGAGGCCAAAGCCGATGATGACCCGAATCCGGTGGCCTTGAAGGTCTTTTGTAAGTCGATAGTAGAAAGTGCACATGGCTGCTTTGAGGATCCAGAGGAGGGATGAGTAAGTTGCCCATAGAGCGATTTGGATCTTCGAGCCAATGATACTGTAAGTATTAGCACACATAACCAGATAGATAGAGTTATTGGCCTACCGAAGCTGATATTCATGATCTTCTGGTTGTAAAGAGGCTCGTTGCTCGTCCGTCATCGAGTTATTCGCCAGCCCTTGAGCAATATTCCCGACCGAGTATGCCAGTCCTGTTTCTATAACGTAGATGCCCTAATGATGTTAGTATAATGCATCCACATCAGATACTCATCACTTACAGTGGCCAAAATGACGAGATAGTCATCTGCCCAGAGGTTCCTGCATCCCACAGTCCTGATCCGCACACACGACCTTAACGCGGTGACCAGCAACGCAATACCAAGTAATGTAAAGGCCTCTATGTTGAAGGCCTTGAGATTGACCTCCGTTATTGCTGCAGCACTTTCTTCAATAGACGTCTGGGGATCCATGATGAGTTGAACTGTAGCTCGCATCGGTAGCAGAGCAACGAGAACCAGCCCCTCGGGAAGGAAACTCGTGATATAAGATTACCAGAAATATCTGATCTGAAGCCAGCGGCGAATTTGTGCGTCTAGACAATCTAGTCCTCAATTTTTACTTCTTTTAGGGCCCATCTCCAATACTCCACGTAAAACTGCTCCATGTTTCTGAGTCCAGCCTCTTCATCCCTCACATCCCTCAACGGAAAAATCACGTCCAACTAAATCCTTTTTGCAAAAAGAAAAACTCGGTCTCCGCAGATGGACTCAAACCAAACGAGGAAAAGTCGAACGGGCCGTCGTGTTTCGTGGCAGAGACAAAAAAGCAACGTTAATCCACCGGGGACGCTCGGGTTCTCGTTAGCTGCCGAAATCGTGGAGAAAGTGCCGAGTGTGTGGGAGCAAGGGCTGAGACCGTCAGGGGTCAGAATGTGATAGTCTCTCTTTTCGCAGTTGACATGTCACCGTTTGATCTGAGGGTAGTGGAGAAGAGAGACTCAGCCGGGGCTCTCGCCAAGTTTCAGCTCGTGTTGGCAAATCAGGTACTCTGCATAAAGACCTCATATCGGATGAGGGAAGCTCAGCTCAGACACCGGCCAGTTGATGTGAGGGGAAGAAATCCGATCTGGTGGTGAGACACGACAAAACGTGTACAACGTGTACTCACAATACAAGATTGGGCTGGTCTGTCTTAAACATAAAGCAGGAGGGAAATCATAGTTGGTTAAATAAGGTACGGAGTCCAAAAGAAGGCTGGGTTCTATGACTATGTGGATGAAGTCCTACAGGGACCTGCATGAGAAAACCTTGGAACTTGCAGACTGTCGACTGCTTGATGTGCTTTTGACGATTCTGGCGAAGTTGATGACGATATAAATGCAAGTCATCATGATTCTCGATGAGAATAGAGAGAAGTTGAATAGAAGATCTCGATCGACTACGTCTCTACGTGAAAGAAAGGAATAGAGAAGAAGAGAAGGAGGAGTAGCAGAGAACGATTTTCAGCATTGTGTCCCAGAGACGAGTGTCACGGAATACCATGGAAGTATCACAACTTAGCCCACAAGAACTATCAAAACCAGGACTTGGGCAAACAATCTGTAGTTCTAGGGCTTTACCAATAGGACTTTCTCCGGTTCACTCAGCTGATTTGTTATAGCAAAAAAAGGCTCTTATAGCTCAGGCGCTGGGAGGCATACTATCCATAACTACCCCACAATACCTATTTCAAAATTTACATCTGTCAAGAAAAGCCATGGAGTTGTGCCTGTAACAGATTCATCTGATCTCTATGCAATGTGGAAGAATCCATGTTACACTGCGGCCGATGAACGCATGCACACTACAACTACCCTGCCACGACAGCCTATATCATAACATGCATAATTTTATTGCTTCTCAAATACATCTACCTCTTCAGTGTCTTTTGCTTCTCTGCGTCTGTAGCAACATTTCTTCCTTCGACAAGCAATCCCTTCTTTCTCCTCACTCCATCCATATATCGCTTCGCCACGTTCTCCTTGTCAGCCAACTCACCAAGATCCTCGAGATCATCTTCTGTGAAAGGTACCCAGAAAGGATCTTCATCCAGAATCTCAAAGCCAGCAAAGATCAGCTGTGGCTGGGCCGCGCCACTGGTACGCTTACGCATCTCGTCGGCAAATCCGAAACTCTCGGCTACGGGAACCAGTGCTTGAATTGTGAAGAATGGTGTACCTTCTTTCATGAGTTCGGCGTTGACACGACCGCGACGACGGGTAAGAACATCGTATACACGACCGAGGACTTCTGTAGATGCTTGAATTTCGACACTGTACATGGCAAGCATGAGACGGGGAGACCAGTCCATGAAACCTGCGCGAAGAGAAGATTGGAAGGTTCTGATGATCTCACCGGTAAGACGACCAAGTTTGTCCCGTGCAGAGGAGTCGTCCTCGGCGAGGTTCAGGGTAACATCCTCAATAAAGACTGCAACGCCCTGAAGGGGCTCGTTGCACAGAGGACCCTGAGCCGTAGCAAGTTGGAAGGCGTATGAGATCTTGTCAGTAAGATGGCTAGGGTGAAGAGACTCATCGGCACGAGGTGCAGTCTCGACAGTCTTTTCAGTAGCAAAAGCCTTAGAGAAGATACCATCTGCAGTAGCATCGATAAGTAGGTTTGGTCCAGTACGTCGAGGTCCGAAGGCCACAATCTTATCAATAGAGTCCTTCCAGATATCTCTGCCCTTTCCACCTTCAAGCTTCTCCTTAAGTTGCTTCTTGAAGTCTTCCACGGACAGGGTGTTTCCAGCTGCAACATCAGCTTCAGCCACGATTTCTTCGCTCTCATCATCCTTCTTGGCCCCGCGGTCGTAGACTCGCTTAACAGCATCGCCATTCTTGACCAAAAAGTCTGTTACGTTTTCGGGGATTGGCTGCACACGGAGCGAGAGAGTCACTTGCTTGGAGCTTGTTGTAGCCACAACCGCACCACGACCTAGCTCCTTGTTCGCGGGAGGCCGCATCTCTTCAGCTCGGACAATTGTCTCTCGGTAGGGAACAATAGGAGCACCAGGCTGAATATCGCACAGAGCAAACCGCTCCTTGAGATCAGTCAAGCATCGCTCAAGATGTAGCTCACCTGCAGTCAATAACACATGCTCACCACTACCCAGAAGCTCATACTCAGCACAAGGGTCGCTCTGAACCAGAAGCTTGAGCCCATGGATCATCTTGTCAAGATCGGCGGGGTTCACAGGTTCCAGTGCAACGCGAACGATAGGCTTGCCCAGCATGGTGACACCGGCGAGGTTGACGGCGCCGTCACGGCGACTGCACAAGGTACCAGATTTGAGAATCTTGCCCTCGAGACCACCAATACCAAAGACACAGCCGGCAGGAACTGAATCTAGAGCCTCAAGGTTTCGTCCCATGAGCATATAGAGCGCAGTAACAGTGACTTCTTGAGGCTCAGGATCGGCGCTTGGCTCAGCAGGTGACCATTTTGGAGGAATAACGTAGAGCTTATCGCCAACGGAAAGTGTTCCCGAGTAAATACGAGCGAAGCCGATAAGGTGCTCAGGATCAACCTTCTTCTCTTCCAGCTCAGGGGCGTAATCGTCAAGATTGATGGCATCCATCGAGGCCGCCATGCTGTCAACGCCATTCTCACCAGCTGCAGCCTGGGCTCGAGCAGCTTCAGCTCGCTTCTTTCGTGCAAGCTCTCGGGCCTCTTCGCCACTCATCTGGGTTCCAGCACGTCGCTTATTTTCGGGAAGTTCACTCTCGGGAATAGAAACCATTTTACTGACGTAGGCAACCACAGGGTCAGACTTTTCATGTTTGAAAGAAATCATGGCGTCCTTGATAGTCTGGTCAATGTGCTCAGATCCTGGGGATTCTTCGATCAGCTCGGGAAGTCGTGCAGCCTGAGCGGCCGGAGGCGAAGGCAGAGATTCAATGACTGACACCAGTAGTGCTGTTGACAAGGGAAGCCAGTTTGCGAAAATTGTCGTCATGAGAAGCTTCTGATCTCGCGACTTGAGCATGTGAGGGGTGATCTTGATTCCGAGGGACTTGGTGACCTTTTCCAGCAGATCTCGATCACCCTGCCCGTTATCACCTCCCACTGTAGCTTGATAGACAGTCCATACTGGCTCCAGTACCAATTGCACAAACAAGGGCTTCAGATTTCTTCCCTTGAGATGCTTAGGACCCAGGATCTTCTTCGTCTTGGGGTCCAGATAGAAGTTGCCCCATAGAACCTTTTCCATAATTCCACGCTTAATGCCCAGCTTCTTCTCATACATGGCAGCGAATTGTCTGCAGGTGAATGCCCATCCATCGATGGCGCTGCTGAAAATAACGTTGTTCTTTTCAGGAGCAAAGTAGATATCTTCGTCGTCTCTTTCCTCGAATTGCACCTCTCCTGTATCGCTGACTTGGTCGGCGATTGCTGATTCTTTGGCTGCTGTGGCTGCATTGACTCGCTCCTCCATTCTTTCCCTCCAGTTGAGGTCCTCCTCCATACGCTCGCCCTGAAAGAAACTTCCTAGCACAGCGTTTACCTGTTCTAATAGCTTATTCAAGTGGATATATGCTTCTCCTGGTGTCATTTTGAGTTCTGTCACAAGTCGATCAATCTTGTTAATGACGAGCAGGGGCTTTAGCTTCTCTGTCCATGTTTGACGAAGAACAGTGACTGTTTGACTGCAGACTCCCTCAACAGCATCAACAAGAACAACAGCTCCATCACACAATCTTGAGGCTGTTGAGACTTCTGAGCTGAAATCGATATGACCAGGTGAATCGATCAAGTTGACAAGGTACTCCTTGTCCTCGGGATCAGCATCGGGGGCTGCTTTCCGACGCATGGCGAAGTAGAGTGAGATAGCTGAAGACTCCATTGTGATTCCTCGTATCTGTTCATCAGGCCTAGAGTCAAGATATCGGATCTTGCCCGCCAGCTTTGGCGAGATGATGCCATTTGTGGCAAGGAGAGCATCGGTAAGTGAAGTTTTGCCATGGTCAACGTGGGCCAAAATGCAAATCTGTAAGACGTTAGACTGTATACTCTCTTTTTCATGAGACTGTACTGACATTTCGAATATCACTGGACTGTCTTTGCAGACTTGCCAGCTTATCTGGAGTGACGACAGGCATTATGACGACAGTGATTCGAGTAGGGTAGGTTGAAGTGATAGTGTTAAAGATAGAGGATGTCTAGGATGTCAAGTAAAATTTCTAAATATGGGGAGGAAGGAATCTGCTGTACCAGCGAGGCAGTAGCTCTAAAGCCTCCAACTTCAATTTTCCAAACCCAAACTTATATCGATCTTTGTAGTTGTTTGAGTGATACTTTGCCTAGCCGTTACTCATAGTGTGACTAATCTAATCCTTAACTGCACACGACGGTCAGCAAATTTAGACTTCATCAGGCACTTTTGGCTCAGTATATCTGCAAATCGACTAAGAATGACTCATACATACGCAAAGAGCCTGAGACACCAAAAACCAAGGTAAATCTTGTTGTCCAGCAAAAGCTGCTACACCTTGACAGGCTGAATTCTCAAGCTCACAAGCTGAAGCACCCCACTAAATCCGTATGACTAAGCATCGACCCCGCGTGTGCCCGCCAAACGGAAGCCCTAGTTCACCAAAAAAATCGCATCGTTGATAAAATTTCCCCCCTCACCGCGACGACGAGACGAGACGAGACGAGACGAGCGAGACCGACGCGCGACTCGACTCTACAAGACACGATGGCTACTTACCAAAACGGCGTGGCTCCGGTTCGCGCCATCGATGACGACAGCGATGTCGAGGAGGAGGCTCTGGTGGCCGAGTACAAGGAGCATGTTCAGTATGAGGATGGTGATGATCTCAGCCGCACCACTTCTTTGAACCTCACCGCGCAGACCGACGATATCCAGGCTCGACTTGTGCAGGCCGCTCAGCCTCTCGATTTCCAGGCGCCTCTTGAGGCCAAGTTCCAGAGCTACGATGCTTACTGCAGCTTGTTTCATTTTATCTTGAACTCCGAGGGCCCCGTCGATCTCGAGCCCCCTTCCGTTGGTCTCACAAAGTTAGATGTTGAGTTGGATAGGGCTAATGAATATTTCTGCAGTACTACTGGGCTTGGGATGTTATCGATGAGTTCATTTACCAGTTCAACTCTTTCTCCTCGTACCGTATGCGAATTGCCCGGCAAACAACCAACGAGGAGGAGCGTCAGGCTCTCCGCGAGAACCCCAACACCTGGGGCTGCTACAGTGTTCTCAACGTCCTGTACTCCCTTATCCAGCGATCCCAGATCACCGAGCAGCTTGCAGCCATGAAGCGTAACGAGGATCCTTTGGCCGTTGCTGGTGAGTATGGCTCCAAGAACCTCTACAAGATGTTGGGCTACTTCTCCATTATTGGTCTTCTCCGAGTCCACTGTCTCCTCGGAGATTTCAGCCTGGCTCTCAAGACCCTTGATGATATCGAGCTCAACAAGAAGGCCATGTTCGCCCGCGTCATGGCTGCTCACTTCACCACCTACTACTACGTGGGTTTCTCCTACATGATGCAGCACCGTTACGCCGATGCCATCCGCATGTTCAGCCATATCCTCATCTACGTCTCGAGGACCAAGAACTTCCAGAAGAGCGCCCAGTACGACTCTATCACTAAGAAGAACGAGCAGATGTACGCTCTTATTGCTATCTGCGTCGCTTTCCAGCCCACTCGTCTGGACGACACCATTCACAGCGCCCTCCGTGAGAAGTATGGCGACCAACTCCTCAAGCTCCAGCGCGGTGGCCCCGAGTCCCTCCCCATCTTCGAGGAGCTCTTCCGCGCAGCGTGCCCCAAGTTCATCTCCCCCGTTCCTCCGGACTTTGAGAACCCCGAGGCCAACATCGACCCCGTCGAGCACCACCTCGCTGTCTTCATGGATGAGGTCAAGACCAACATGTGGAGCCCCACCATCAAGTCTTACCTCCGCCTCTACACCACCATGGATCTTAACAAGCTCGCTGGTTTCCTCGAGGTGAAGCCCGAGGAGCTTCGATCATGGCTCCTGGTTACCAAGCAGCGAACTAAGCAATTGCGATGGCAGGACCAGGGTCTGCTTGAGGGTGAGCTCGTCAACGTCAGCGACCTTGACTATGCTCTCCAAGGCGTAAGTTTCATGGCCCAATCCAGTATCTCAACATAAACTAACAATCCTACAGGACCTCATTCACATCTCTGAGGCTAAGGTGGGACGAAAGCTTGTGGACTGGTATCTCCGAAACCTGTCCCGCACCTATAACTGAGGTGCTACAGAGAGAACTGACTAGTCGTTTTTCTCACATTTCATGGGGTCTTCGATTCAAGCCCGAAACAAGCGCATAGAGCGCTGTGGCTGGATCCTCCAAACGACCCAGGGTCAGGAGAATACCTGGGGTTATGCAGGCCGACTTGATAGGATGCATGGCATGGCAAAGGCGTCTCGGAGTTGGTGATGCTCGTGCAAGAGCTTGAGAATTTCTCGAGTTTAGCTGTATGTGCGGCAGAGATATGGCACTTCCTCCTAGAGGTACGAGAGCCTGTGAAAAGGCTATGAAGAATAAAAGGAATCAAAAGTCGTTTAATCAAATATCATGATCCTAAAAGTCTATATCACCATTATGAATTATGTCAGTTCTGGAAACCGGTTCTTGTACAGGCTTCGCAGTTACAATTTGCATTGAGTTCCCCGTACAACTGAGAATAATTTTGATACGAGTCGTTCGTTGTTGCGTACCTAATCATAACAGGGGAATCACAATTGGGGTATATCTGTTAGAATCTGGTCTCGAAATGTGCTGAGGAACCCTAATGGTGCGAATACCAGGATGGTCCACGACGAAATTGAGCAATCGGCTACAAAACCAGAAAAGCTGATAAGCCATAAACCTCGACGAATGGCAAAGGTTTGAAACATAGTCACAGAAAGCCCTCTTTATTGTTTTGGGGCTTGAGTTATAGTTCCTCGAGTCAAACATAACATTGGTGATGGGCTTTGTGTACCTTGCTTTAGCCACTTAGATCACTCTGTAATGCCTTACCACCAAAAAATCTTTGTATTTAATACGACATAGGAATATTTGGGGAAAGCGAATTATATTATTAGCTATATCGCTTATGCCTTAATGTCAGCCTGAGGTTGTGCCACTTAGATCCTCATTTTGTACCTAGTCTGCTTGATAAATAGCTAATAGATATTCCGTTATCTTGGCTGAACTGGTTTACTGCGTGATGTGTAGCTCATTGATGTGCAGAAGCTATGCGAAAGACTTCCTCCCGGCGCTGTAGGGTTCGGTCATCAGCTAGTATCGGACAGATGGAGGCTCATATTGATTCATCGATGAGGACCGTTGAGTAAGCGGCATAATCGATTAGCGCGGCATGGGCCAGAAAAAGGAATCAAGGTTGTGTTGCGACAAGGACAGTCCTTCAAGTATGGTCTTCGAGGTCTGGTGTGTTAGCGATTGCAGGCTTGGTGAACTAGTATACGACTTTCAGTTTCCGTGGATGCTTATTAGCCACACGTACGGAATCTGTTTCGCTCTGGGAGACCAAGAAATGCCAACCAAGCTTTCCATTGTATATTTCAAGGAAGACCTTGTAGGAAGTCCTATGAAATGTTGTGGACAAGTTTGCCCTGCCATAGCACCGATGATAACACTCCGCGGGCTGCCTGATGATGCCTATAATGTTTTGGCGCGTACATGTATGCTCGTTGGATGAAGCCTCGAGAGGTTCGAGATGTATCTCGGCATTTGTGTTCCCGAGTCTGTGCCACTCAGTGTATTGGCTCGTGATTTCCAGAGCCTAGGTTAGCTCAGTTGGCAAAAGCAATGAGATATTGTGTTCTCGTGGCTGATGAAGATAGCTTCACCGCCGTCTTTAACGACACATACGTGGTCGAGTCAGACCATGTCACCATGATGGTGCGCAGGAGACCTTCCGAAATTCCGGTTCTTTGGTAGCCCTAGTGTGGAGAGGTACCGGTATCCGCAAGGTGCTCTTCCACTCCCATGCTCTGTCGGATAATGGCAGGGCTGATGAATTATTTGACTTTGACAGCTGAAAGAACAGGGGATACTCATGTGGTCTCGATAAGGAAATTCACTGGCTGATACGTTGTGCTTGGTAGTGGCTCAATAATTAATCTGGTGCAACGAAACGATGCGGTGAAGAGTTGTGCAAAAGAAAGACGAGTGACGAGCTGACTGTTCCTCGCTTGAGGTTCCCTGCATGTCTGTTTGTTGTCCGCCTAGTGAGAAATTCTTGGTATTGATCCATAGTAAAAACCGTTTGGTTAGTGCCGTTGAAGCTGATTCGGCTTGTCGTATGGGAGGGATGATGGATCTCAATTCATCTGCAGAGGCTCTGTCCTGAGTCGGCTCGGCCCCACCATTAGCGTGCCTCTCCACTGAAGCCCGAGAGTGAGATGACTCCGCCCGGGGGGAGCGGGATCAAAGGAGGGCTTCTTGTACCGAATCGTGCCCAAAGAACCGGTTCCGACGCCGCCATGGTACATATCATAACACAAATACAGTTTGCTACGTGATACGCTTGTGCTCTTGGCGGTCACCGGTGGGAGTCACACTCGGGACGTTGTTGCCGGGGCCAAGACATTGACACTTTACCTGAAATCTGTGCTGCCTTCCATTATCTATCTTGAGCTTCGCTTCACAGCAAGAAGATCATTGTGTGCTTTTGGCTGCCCAAGCAAACAAGGTGGCATCAGTGAGGGGAAGCCGGCCGAGCTAAGCGCCCCTTATTAAGTGGATATCTATTCGCCGGTAAGCTGTCCTACTTGTTGGAGTGGCATCAAAGAGTGTTGAAAGAGTTTCCATGTGATCAAAAACTCTCAGGGATCATAATAGCGTTGTGTTGTGTTGTGTTGCTTACCTGGCCCTCAGGGAGCAAGAAAACTTAGGACCTCTATCCTAAGTGATAAAAAGATTTAGGTAATTTAGTGTAGATTTGGAAAGCCTTTAGATTAGTTATTTTTGTCATTCAAGATAAAGGTCCTCAGTTTTCTTGCCTCCCCCAGCCTGGGGCCAGTATCAGTGTGAGTGGGCTTGTGACCGGTCTCCTTGCTCGCGTGTCGTTCATTTCCTCTTCTTCTCTGGATAAATTCAAGAGGCCTCTGGTCTCTCTGTTATCTCTGTGTCTGTGTTGCAAAAATGATAGAGACCCTGCCCGTGGTTCATCCTGGTCAACCAATGGTTCAGCCCAGTCAACACATGCTTTCTCGCATGCAAATCGAGCTGTGTCTTGGCCTGCAGTTATTGTCACACCCGACACACAATAATTCATCCAATCCCTGAAGAGCGGCACTGCAACGGCTTACTTTGGCGTATTTACGTCAGCTGTACGTTTTGCACTTTCGCTATCATCAACCTTGTTTTCACCTCAAGTCTCTTTTTATTAGCTGTTGGCGATCTCTGCAGATTCACGCCATTTTAACCCTTGAACGTGTTTTCCAACGCACGTTCTCACGCAGCTTCTGTAATATATCACAAATTCAAATCTCGGCTGATAATAATACACCACTACTGTTGACGTTGTTGCTGCCCAGTTTAATTTCAACCCTCCCAGACCTTTTCGGGCCTACACCCAGTCAGTCCTGACGTGGACCAAGGGCCGTTCCGTTCGGCACCGTCCCTCAACCCATCCCATCCATCCTCTTTGGCCTCCTCACGTTGTCTCCCTCGTTTAATGTGACCAAGCCCATATTATCCAGCTACCGACCTCCTCGCTAGGTACTGTATCATGACATCTCTCTCTGCCTAAGGAAACAATAGTGAGACTACCTAGACCTCCCACTCTCCCACCCACCCGTCTTTGGTCTTCGTCTCTTCCAAACCTAAAAACCAAGATCTGAAAACGTGGTCTCGTCGTTACCTGGCAATAACCTTAAAATCTTATTGTTTTGGGCTGAATCTCGGCTGACCTATGCCTTGATTGTGGCTTCATCTCTTTCACCACAAACTGATTGCAAACAAAACGCAAACGCCTACACCGTCTTCTGACTTTACTCACTCGACCCTGTTACAAAGATCAAGAGTCTTTACTCTGTGCTTTTATCTATTCGCTGTCCTCCGTTGCCTTTCGTAATCTGCGGCCACTATCAGCTCCGCTTCCTCAGAAAGGCCCAGGCTACAACACCACAGCCACCACCAACTTTCATCTCCATTATTACGACTTGCCTTTCTTCTATATTCACAGCCACTCCGGTTCGATCTATTGATAAATCAATTGTAGAGGTCCTTCTCCACACTTTCTACTACTTCGGCCAGATCTGATCGACCTCGGCGTTGCATCTTGGCTCAAGCTCCGCGTCTCAACTTGCGCCCGCATCTGCATCTCAACTTCAGCTCCCATCTTCCTTTCTTGACTTCGGAACCGCGTCATTCAACGTCACAAACTTGACTCTCCTAAGCCCCACGTTACCGTCAGCCGCGTTCACTCCTTCCTCCTTGTGATTTGGTGTTTCCCTAAATCAAGAGCCAAGCCAAGCTTACCCATCAACTGGTTAGCCTCTCCGTCTTGGCGGCAGTTGCATCTTGGCAATACGCATACCCTTGGGGAGGAACTACCAAGACACTTGACTGAAGCTCAGCTCCGTGCAAGCTCAAGCTTTCTTTCCTTTCTCATCAACCAGAAAGCCCTTACAGAAGAAATTCTTTTGACCTTGGCTTTTCATCATCATACGTCCATTTTATCCCATCAAGCTGCACCATCGATAAGCTTGATTATCGTTAGACCTTACACACATTCGTTCCCAGATATACACGATCATTATTGAACGTATCGACCCGGCGCGAACGACAAGCTGAACTCGGTTTGCCACCAGATCGCGTCTTCTGTGACGCAGTATCGTAGGCAACATGGCCACAACCGCAATGATTCAACCAAACCCGCCCAAGCGTTCCGACTCCGATGTCTCCCCCAGAACAGTGAACCCTCCAAGGAACTCAGCCTCAGAAGACGCAAAGGTCGATTACTTCCCAGATTCCAACACAGTCGATGGATCCAATACTAGTGTCCGGGCCAGCGACGGTGACGATTCATCTGCTCGGAAGTCAAGCATCTCCTTCGCACCAGATCCTCGACGTAGCTCAAGCTGTGAAAGCAACCAAAATTCAGCACCAGGCCAGGACTCGACGATTCAAAGGAAATCATCCACCGGCTCTGTCTCTTTTCGTAGAATGACAAACCCTCAACTTCCCCAAGGAAATCCTCAACAGATGAACAACAGTCGCATCCGTGCGAGCTCACCTAACCACTCAAGGTATGTAGCAACTTTCTTCATCTTTTCCCCCTCCCGTTGCACAAATTTTTGCTGTGATCGAATACCAATATCCTCAACCCGATACTGGATTGCACTTGCAACCTTATATCGGCCTGACCAAACCTGACACACGGTACGACAATATGTAAACTGCCAAAAAACCTCCATTCGGATCGTCGTGGTGCAGACTGGAATTTCTTGTTTTTGTTTTGGAAGAATCGTTATTTCACCAACGGATTTCATTCTGCGTAATGCACACGAACATCGGCGAAACTGGGTTCAAATTGGTCCGGCTGGAAACCTATGTGACGCCATGCCAAGCAACATGTCGCGTGGACTGTGTGTTACCATCGAAATCAATAATTCGGTCCACATGGGTCAACCATTTCCATCCAGGTCGGATACGAGCATTGCGGTAGCGGCATCGACTGTTTGAACACCCACTCGTAAAGACAACTCAACGCAGAGGCGTATTGATGGAACCTGCCCGGGCTTTAGGTGGAACTGGGTCGCTTGGCTGGACCATTCCTCACAATAACCTTTCGACTCCACCACTGGCCTTCCCACTATCAATTATGGTTACCCCGCCGTTTGCGACAAAGCTTCCAGTAGACGTGGGGAAATGGTCTTCGCCTCTGGCTACCTGCTCGCTTGGTCTGGATCGTCAGGCCATCATCCTTCATCACAGCCACTGACAAGTCGTCAGCCCCCAAATTCCCGCAGAACCTTCCTCTTGCCGTCGACACAGTCGTCACTGACAATTCTTAACCTTCATCCCCATTATCACTTCCCCGCGCATCCTATAATTACCTCTCAAAACTATCGTTATTGTTCTCAGTCTCTATTTTGTGGCATTTTCACGACAATGGCGACGCTAACCGAGACCCCGCCCGATAGGTTCAAGAAGCATGTCGCATTTGACAATGTTACAACCGGCGAACCGACCAAGAATAATGCCATCTCATTTACGCTCAATGTTCGACATAAGGGTTACCAGGCTAGGCGCAGATCGCGGTGTTTCATGGTTGGGGTTGACGAGCATACCTACTCCGATTATGCGTTGCAGTGGCTGCTTGACGAACTGGTCGATGATGGCGACGAAGTTGTTTGCGTGCGAGTAGTCGAAAAAGAACTGCGACTTACGGACAAGCAGTACAGGGACGATGCAGACTCGGTTATGAAGGGGATCGTTGCTCGGAATGGTAATAACAGAGCCATCAACATTGTCCTTGAATATGCCGTGGGCAAGTTACACACGACTTTTCAAGTCCTAGTACGTGAACAGAGAAGGCACCTCCGTTGCCAAGTTCCAGCGCTGACAAAATACCAGATCCAAATGTACCAGCCTGCAATGCTCATTGTCGGAACTAGAGGACGCACCCTCGGTGGTCTTCAAGGCCTGGTCAACACCCGCAACTCGTTTTCCAAATACTGTCTCCAATATTCACCTGTCCCTGTGGTTGTGGTTCGGCCTACCGAGAAGCGCATCAAAAAGAAGGCCAAACGTGCCAATGATTCTGCCCGACAGACCTACGTGAGCATGTTGGCCGCAAACGCCGGAAAGCATGAGGCCGATAGTGAGGCAAGTAGCATTTATGAGCTTGAGGTCCACAACTCGCCCGATGAAGAAGCGCACCAAGTCGCACGCGCTTTAGGACTACCCGCATCTTTCGATCCTACGATTAAGCCCCTCAACCATAGCCAGATACCGAATCGCAGATCCCCCGACCCTACCGCTACTGCGGGCCCTGTTAATGAGACCTCGGAGAACCAGAGAGTTGTTAAAGATGATGTCAGTGTCGCGGCTGAGAGCGATGACGATGACGATGATGACGACGACTCTGGAGAGTTCGAGGTCATGAGCGGGCAACAAGCCTTGGACAGGCAGAAGATGGATCAGCTTCATAAGATGGAGGTCGGTGAAGCAGCAGCATTCAAGATGAAGGTGGATGAGGAACTTGATGAAGAAGATGATACCCCCTCAGCCCCGAAAGCCACATCATAGAAGATGAAGGGCAAGCAGAAACTAGGAACAGACAATAACAAGCATAAGAATAGCACAGGAGATGAAATTGCCGAAAGCAACGACAAATCCTCCCAGGAGAATAACCAGCTTCCTCAAGTTACTCAGCTAGATTCAGCAGCAAAAGGAGGTCTCTCATCTCTAGAAGAAGAAGGCGACACGACCGAACTGCAACATCTAGATGATTTACAAAAGCGTATGCTCAACGTTGATATAGGGTTTCACTTATCGCGTGGAGCTTGGTAGGAAATAGCGCCCCAAGAGCATGGGGCTTCGATGCATTCTCGGGCCGAAAACAAACAGCCCAAAGTTCCCAGCAATTCAAAAAGCGAGGACAAAGAAGGACCTTCTAGTCCACCCTTCGAAGCACTGGATGCTGCTTCGAAGGCTACACAGATTCCTTCAGGCCGCCCGATTCCTACGTCGCCCACAGGAGACCAAGCACCAAGTACCCAAGACAAAGGCTCATCTATCGGGTTGGAGAATCTCAAATCTCCACCGAACACACGATTTCCTTCGGGGGACTTGCCAAGGGGAGATTCTGAGGAAGAGGTCCAAGATAATGACCAATCTGGTAGTGGCGATGGTGATGGCGATGGTGATAGTAATAACAACAACAACAACGAAGAGAATGATAATGAACCACCCAACGTGGCAGAAGCGAGGACCCGTCCCAGCAGGTAGTCATTGTGGGCAAGTGGCTTCAGAAGTTGCTTCAGAAGTTGCTGCAGCGCATGCATTGAGTCGTCCCAGCATTGGCGTCTATGTTAGGCTCACGGTCTGATAAGATCATGCATTGATGATTATACAGTGGCTCTTGTGGATTTTAATAGCGCTTCGAAATGATATTACACAGCGATAGACGGGTTTCAGTTCTTAGCTATCTGATACGTATTAGGGTTGAAATTCATATGATGTTTGGGATCGTAACTAATGGCCGTGCGCCGAGGTCGGTGATTCAAATCTAGTTATTATGCATGTGCGTGCGTCTAATCTAATGCAGACCAGGTCTGTTGCATGTCATGTCATGATGCTGCATGCAAGGACCCTTAATCAGGCATAAGGATGTGTAACCTGAGGCATCAACACGTCACTTACGTGCGACCAAACGAGCGCGACGACGTAAGCCACCATTTCTCAGTTCTAGACCCAGGGCTAATTCCAAATATCGAGTCCAACAAACAAATCTCGACTTGAAAACTCAAATGCTGTACAACAGCTGAAAGCAACTGTACATACCTACTGATTGATTCAATTGTCAAGGAAAAAGCGAAAGGACCCTTGAAGTGACGTTGCGTGACATCTCTTGTTTGATACGAGTTGTCGCAACGGCGCTACGCTACGAGGGGCTCAAGCTCAAGGGATAACTTAAGTTACTGGCAACGTTTCAGTCTATTTCAGTTAGATACCGAGTCTCCCCTCCTCTCATGATACAAACTCAAGGGAGGATTTGCTGCGCCGCCGCCAAAACCCGACTAAAATAACTACTCTGACATTCCTACGCCTGCGAGCATACGAGTTCACAAAGAACGATATACTCCTCTGGCCCCGCGCCAACATCGATGATCATCACCGCGACTCACACTGCTTCGATAACGATATAAACTTCACAAAGAATGTGGCCCTTTACTCGCTGCGGCGAAGACGCCTGCGAAATCCAACCCCGCCCTGTCACACTCGCCTCGTCCATCGCCGCCCTCCCGTTCCTCCTCATCTGCATCTCGACATCAATCCTCGTTGTTCGACATGTCTTTCCCCGTCTGAGCAGCGATGCCGATTCTCGCGACGGCGAAGATCACGTCCTACCTACACATGCACCAGCGTGTCTGCGACAAGTCCACGCTGAACACGGTGCCAAGAGCTGGAGACGGCGCGGCGCAGCCTGGACGTTTGGCCTTACTGTGGGATTGGCTGCTACATTGGGCGCGCTGATCATGGACGAAATCATCGAAGTTGTCAACGCCGACTCGAGAAATTTGGCTTTGAGAATAACGGTGCCAAGCTTGCTGTTCTTGCTGGTCGTGTTGGTACCTTGGCTGGAGTGTCGATCGGTTGTTTCGAGTGCCGGATGGAGTTTTCAGAGAACTGCCAAGGGAAAACTTCCTCGGGTCGCTTGGGGATTACAAATTGCTCTGTTCATGGGATGGTTATTTGCTTTCTGGTCTGTTGGCCAGGCTGTTCCCGAGGGCGCGATGCGCAGGACAAGCAATTGGAGTGGAAGCCTCTCCGAGATGTTGACACGCGGATGCCTGGAACGTATTGGTGTCGTCGGTATCTCACTGATGGCTTTACTGTCTGGCTTCGCTGCTGTTTCTTCACCGTGGCAGGCATTCATGGATCTTACAACCCGTCGCAAACGACCTGTCACAGATGCTGATGTAGCGAGAAAGCAAGCTGGGCTGGATACTGCCAACGAAATGCTTCTCACCAAGCGTCATCGCTTGCAATATCTCGAACGCAAGACATCTGGTCCTCAGAATGGAGCCTCTGCCAAGGGAAGTGGCCTTGTTGGCAAAGTCATGGGTTCTCTACGTGGTCCAACTGGTGATGAGGCAGAGATGCGATCGCTGCGCCTGGAAATTGCTGGTCTCGAGACGATGGAAGCCAACCTGGCTTCAGGAGTTTCTCTCCTCAAGAGCCACCGGGCTGCCACAGTTCGCGCTTCAACATCCATCGGACGTATTCTTCTCATTCCCTCGCAGCTCTTCAGCTTGTACTGTGTGTATCGCATTGGCGCAACTACAATCACAACTATTCGCCGAGCATATTCACCCACATCAAGTTTCGCCAACACGGATCCCATTAACCGCTTTCTTAGTATTCTTGCGCGTCATTGGGATCCCAAGTTGGATCAACTAGCATGGGCACGCCTTATCAGCTTTGCTCTTAGCGGTGTCATTCTCCTCGCCAGCGCCAACAGTGTGGTCCAGACGTTCCACCTGTTTGCTAAATGGACTCCAGGCCTGCTCCGCCAAGCACAAGCGAATCTGGCGCTGGTGGTCGGACAGATCGCTGCGACTTATGTCATCTCAGCTTCACTTCTCCTCCGCAGCCAATTGCCGTCTGCCTTGGGCTCGGCAGTCGGAAGCGTGTTGCGAGGTGCCTTGAGTCCCGCATTTGTGGATGGTTGGTTTGAGGGTTGGTTCCTAGTAGGCAGCCTTATAACAGCCATTGGTATCTGGATAGGTAGAAAGCTCGGTGGTGATGACGAGTGGGATGAGTACGGAATGGAAGAGATGGGCGCCAAAATGTCGTAGGTGCTTGAGTAAGGTAGTGGTGGTTCGTTTCTATGCTTTTTGAGGTTCGGGTTAGCACGCAAGCATTTTTTTTAATGAGCGAAGCGGGTGGATGCACTGTACGATTGACTGACTGATACATGTCTGGGTTGGCGTTTGGACGACAAGGCTCTTGAGAGATGAGAGGCGTTGATACATAGAGTACAATTTGGGTATATCACAGGGAATAGGACTATACCTACTGAGAAAGGATACAGGTAGAAGGGCTTGTCAGGCCCTGCAATACATTGCAATGTTACCAAGAAATATGGTAGCGGCATGTAAATCTTCACCGAGAATGTGATTTATGCAGTGATATGCAGTAGCCTTGGTAGTTGGGTGCTGGGTTGTCTCACAAGTGTCAGCTGTAAGACGAGCTTGACTCACACATTTAACACTACAGACTCAACTGCAGACAAGTCACTTTGGAAAATACAAGGCACCCAAGAGCCAATCTACTCTATATTCTATCTACGCAAAATTTGCTTCACTTATCACATGCTCTATTCATTCTTAGGTGGTGCCCAGTGCTTAACAATTAATATATGCGCGGTATTTCTTTCCCAACCAATCATCTTCAACTCGCAGCCTAAACCAGGTATCGATTATCAAACATATAAAGTCTTCAAGACTACCTATAAATACTACAACGAGGACAAAATCAACATATATCACCAACCCTCATAATGCCAACCTCACCTTCTCCACCACTATCCTACACACAACCCGCATCTCTCGAGGCCTTCGCCTCTACTCCAGATGTCTTCCGAGCTGCCCACCCCCCAATTGAGCACCTCATAGCTGGCGCCCTAGTCACCAATCCCCAAGGTCAAGTCCTTCTTCTCCGCCGCGCAGCTCACGACTCCTGGCCTCTGCTATGGGAAGTCCCCGGTGGTTGTGTCGATGACTCAGACCATGGCCTCGTTGCTGCAGCAGTGCGTGAACTCTGGGAAGAAGCCGGACTACGCGCAAAGGCCGTAAAAGCCGTGGTAGGAATTGCACCTATCACAGAGCCGATGCCTGATGATCCTCTAGAGAAGGACTTGGAGGTTCTGTATGACATGCTTGTGTTTCGTGCAGATGATGGAGTCTGGGGAAAGTTGACGGTCTGGGTCGAGGTGGAGAGCTGTGACGAAGTCAAGATCGATGAGAATGAACATGTCGAGTTTGCGTGGGTGACAGAGGAAGAAGCACTGCAGAATAAGTTCAAGGATGGCAAGAAGTTGGAGTTCGTAAGCGAGGGAGTGAAGAGGAACGTCCTCGAAGGCTTCAGGCTGTGGAAAGAGGAAAGCGAGGCAAGCAGATAAGCCAAAGTGGCCAGCAACAAGAATCATCAGCGGTAATGAAAGGGATCAGCATGAGAGGAGACTTCATGTGCTCATTACTCGTCTATAGTCACACACACACACAGTCCTCACCCCTTCTAAAAGCATCAAAAACAAACACCGAGACCTCATTGAGAAACCAGCAAAGACACACAAAAGACACCACACCGCACCACACCGATCGGAGATAAAATAAATAACAGGACATTTCATTGATCCCATGAACCGCCTAGCATACAGATCCGAGTTCATATCGTAAGAATCGACGTCTCATCATCTCTGCCAAGTCTAGAGAAAACGAACTGCCTATAGTAGCCTTGCCTCAGTGTTCGTTCAGCCAAAGCAAGTAAACTTTTTCAGTCCCTCTCCTGCTTTTCACCCTCTCCCTCATATTCATCAATCAAGGAAGTCAACACGCGGCCTAGACGTTTTTGGGGGAAATCAAAAAGAGTAAAAAAAAAGGAAACATAAAGAGATAAAAAAAGAGCTGTGATCATTCAAATGCATGCCACGTTTCAGTCCATTCATCCATCCGTTCATCCATCCATTCGCCGCCATTCTTTTGCTTTTGTCTCGAAACGCCAAAGGTCAAATGCTCAAAAATGCCCTCTCCAAACCCCCTGAACGAGTGAAGTGGGTGTCGAGGTTGATCATGAGTAAGTCCAACGTGTGGCGGTCAGACGAGGAAAACAGGATGCCGTGGTCGATTAGAACCGGCGGAGAGATTTCAATTCCATGCCCTGAGCAACCTGTGATACTAGATTGTCGAGGATAACGAGAAGAGCTGGCAACAAGTTTCGAACCAGCCTTGTTTAGAACCAGTTTCAAAACCATCGCTTGCAATCGAGTGTAAGATGGGTGTCATTTACGAGAGAATAGCAAAGTCCAAGATGATCACTACTCTTAACTACGAGCTAGGTGACTCGCATCTTGTGAACAGGCATTCTCAGTCGTCAAACCATAGAGAAACGAGGCGATTGGTACACATTCTAGGGTGCCATCGCACGTCCCTGGCGACCTTTCTTATTGGGCACTGTAGTCCAACCGTCGTCGTCAGCTGTGGGTGTAGCAGGCTCGGCATCAGTAGAGGCGGATTGTTGAGCAGCTGATCCGTTGGAGCGGAGAGGTCCAGCCCGTGCCTCTCGAATGCCGCCACGGCCACCACGACCGCCTCGAGGTCCAGCTCCTCCACGGGGTCCTCGTTGATCGTTTGAGGCAGAGCGCCAGCTTGAAGCTTCGATTGCTCTTGATTTGGGAGCACCCTCTCGGGGCTCGCGGTTTCGGATAGGAACCTTCTGCTCGCCATTGGCGCCCTCAGCAACTTCAGCCTTGGGTTCTGTTGCCTCTTGGGTTGCCTCAGGCGTCTCCTTAGCCTCGGCAGCTTCAGCGGCCTGCTTGGCTTCAGCGGCCTCAGCGGCCTCAGCAGCCTCAGCAGCCTCAGCCTCAGCCTTGGCAGCAGCCTCCTTCGCCAATTTTCGTTCCTCCTTGGCCTTCTCATCGGCCTCCTTCTTCTCCTGGATAGCCTGCAGGCGCTTGACCTCAATCTCCTTCTCCCTTGCTGCGGTATCGATAGGACGAGCGGCACCGAAGGGGCTGGCCTTAGCATCAGAGCCCTGGGATGCTGATGAAACATCGGGGGCCTCGGAGACGGTTCGCTTCTGGAGGTTCAAGCGAGGACGACCACCTTGGGCAGGTGCGGCGTTAGAAAGAGCGGGAGATGGGGGTGCGCTACCGTCGGGGGAAGCAGCCTTGGCGGCATCGGGGCGCATTCTCTCGCGCCACTGCATGTCCTTCTCAGCAGCAGTGGCAGTTCGCTCAGGTCGCTCAGGGCGTTCAGGACGGGGACGAGAACCACCCTCGCGAGCCTCGCCCCAAGCAGGAGAGTCCCGGCGGTTGCCTCGGTAAGACTCACTACGGTCACCAAGCACATCGGGAGAAGCGCGGGGGCGGCTTCCGTCTCGGGATCCGGAACCCTCTTGAGGAGAAAGAGGAGCCAGGGGTCCATGTCGCTCCCAAGTGAACTCACGTTGGGGACGAGACTCAAAAGCAGGATCACGAGGTCGTCGCTCACGGTCACCGAAATCACGAGCACCACCCCTTGACGGGGCATCGGGCAGAGGTCCCTTGCGGTCCCAGTTACCCATCTCACGGATAGAGTCACCTCGGCCAGGATCGCCGCCACGAGCTGTAATTGACGGTTAGATAAAGGTTAAGGTTTCATAGATAGATGCAACTTACGAGGATCGGCGACCTTGATCTTGATCATTCGCCCGTTGAAGTTCTCGCCATCAAAGGTAAGAGCCTTCTTGAGGCCATCGAGAGTCTCGAATTCGACATAACCGAAACCCTTGGGGCGCTGCAGCTCACGGTCCTCGATAAGGCGGACGTTGACGACACCACAGTCAGCGAGATATTCTCCCACGGCGTCGTTGGTAACATCGTAGGAAAGGTTGCCCAAGTGAGCGGTATAAGGAGGCTTGTCGGGGAGGGTTTGAGGGGCAGCTTCGCGAACGGAGAAACCTGCGCCAGTTAGTTTTGACAGTCAAATTACAGCGACATCAACACATACCCCGGTCCTGCCAGCTGGAAGCAGCGTTGTTGTTATACCGAGGGCGGTCGGAAGGGGGCAGAGCCTGAGTGCCTAAAAATGGTCAGTCCACCATGGGTCGAAAGTATCGTATGAAAGCGACAGGACATACCAGTGACTGGAAATGAGTTAGCGATGGGACACATCTATAGATTTGAAGTGAAAGTGCTTACCGTAAGAGGTTTCCTCTACCTCATCAGCCCAAGATGAGCCTCCACCAAAACCTATAAGTCCAAGTCAGTATGGGGTCAACGAGGGGCATCGCAGCCAAGTCCGCTGTGCGGCGGGGTGCACAGGCGAGCGGCGGGACATACTGTCAGCCAGAAAGTCCCCAAGGGACATCTTCTGCTGTTCCTTCTTCTTAGGAGCTGGCGAGAGATTAGCATTTGCTTACAAGACATGCCAAACTGTCACGGAGGGGTGCTCACCCATGATTGCGGTTAGGCGAACACGCGCAACGATTCTAGGACCGATGCGCGCACGAATGCAAAGGGCGAAGCCGACCGGGGTTTCAGCTTTCGCTTCAGTGAGGATAACGAGATCGGATCGCTTTGTAGCCGGGAACGGAAGAACCGAATACCGGAATGTCGATTATTTCTGTCGAGAAACTTGCGTTGCAGAGTGTTGATGTGCCCCGACTAACGTTGCCGTGTCTGGGGTTGACGAGTTGAAATTTGCTCGGCGTATGGGAAAAAATGATGATGGAGGCGCCAGTTGAGGGTTGCCTTAATTTTGCCAGTCCTGGTCTGAAGTGGGCGCTAGCCCTTTTTAGTGCCGGACCCACCAATTAACCCCTCCACTCGATTGATGTCTCGCTTGCATCTCCTCAGAAGCACCAGTAACAGCCCCTAAAAGACCCGGAAACCGTAGTTACACTTTGAGGTTCAAGCAGTTGATTTTGTTTAACAGCCAACGCAACCCAGAAATTCTCAGGTCTTTCGCATATGGTACTTTATGCGGCATGTACAATTACATGCCTTGATAAAGATCAAAACGGCTCATAATTTCCACACATGGCAATCAAGTATCAATGATAAATACCCGTTTATTAATTGTCATTCGCCTCATCTCTTTACTGAATTTGACAATTTATTGCATGTTATCACATTACTACATATTCATCTCAACTATAGCCTTTCACGAGTCAAACTCCCCCAAAAGGACACCAGCTCACAGACATTTTTTATGTACGGATTCGAGCCCACCCAATTGGCCCACGGCCCGTGTCATGTCACGGGTTTTCATCCCCAAATTTATGGTGGCTCTCTACGATTGGCCTTTGCCTGCTTAGGAAAACTTGAGATTCAGATGCAGCGAGAGCCTCACCAACCTCACTATCAAGTTTGACAAACGACCGGTGCAGCGAGTCATGTAACATTATTATTTTCCCTTCTAATATTGTAATTATATTAGTCGTTTGAAGTAACCGACATTCATTCTCTTCTTCTCCTCACCGGCCTCCTTCATATCCATCCTCATACACATCCATCATGGCCAACGATAGAAATCAAGAGCCTCAAATGGTGTCTGTACGCCAACGGCAGTCATCTCGTGGTTTGTTTTCTCCCGAGGTTGTTGACCTCGTGGTACCTCCATTGAAATTCGGTGGTTACGCCGGTAAGCTGCTTCATGCGTCCTCGCACACCCCATATTGACATCAAGCAGGGACTGCAGGTATTTTGGCAGGTGTCGGAGGCTCAATCTTCCAAGAGGCAAATCCCATAGTCTGGGGAGCATTCTCTGGATTTCAATGGTTTACATTGGGAACAAGCTTCTGGTGTAAGTTTACTCACCAAAACCATGTATTGGCCAGCGGACTGACCTCTCAAGTCACCAGGAGTATTGTTGTAAAAGCATGGGGCGGTGAAGAAAGGCTCAAAAATGGCGACAAGACAATTGCCAGCGCAATAGCTGGCACAGCAGCTGGTTCGGTGGGTGGCTTGATCCGTAAGTCATACCACACTGTCGCCGCTTTCTTCTTACTGACCCTGTGACCAGGAGGGCCAAAAAACATTCTTCCCGCGATGCTTGTCTTCACAACAGTGGGAGCTGGTGGCCAAATGATCGCAAACCGAATGGCAACTCGAAAGCCGAAGGTTCACGATGAGAACGAATCATTCTGGACCCGATGGTCTCCCCTTAAGAAGCTTACGGATCAGGAGTATAGGGATATGATGTCAGAAAAGATGCTGAGGATAGACGCTGATATTGCACTTATTGATGATCGCATCGCTGAATTAAAAAAGCAGGCCGAAGATGAAGAACTGAAAGGCTCGTCAACATAATAATACTCATGTTTAAGTTGATTCAATTCTCTCTGATTTTGTCATGACCTGTTGAATTCCATGCTCTGCTCGCTGGCCTGAAAAGACTATTGGCTATCAAGATAGCGGCATGCAATCTGCTAGCAAGATACAGAACATCCTAATCGGCTTCCTTGACAAGGTATGCGGGTAATTGTTGAGTGAAACCATGGACTAGTCAACATTAGTTGGATCTCTGTTGTTTCAGAGCCTTGACATGCTAGACATCCATAGTTGAAGCTGGAGTGAGCATACAAAGAGTTTCGCGTATTTGTATTCTTTACTAATCTTGACTCTTCCAAACTGACAACGCATAACACAGCAACTTTCACTGTTCAATGCAACCTCGTAACGAATATTGTTGCTCAGTAACTGCTAGGGAGGGATGATACCACACTGCTATGACACGCTACTGTATTACGAGTTGGATCACTGCCGCGGCGGAATGAAGCAAGAATGACGCAGCTCGAGGGAACTGAGTCAAAATTTGTGGTAGACGAAACAACAATTCCCCTGGGGAACAACGGAGCAACAATCTGTGTGGCTTGGCGGCGACAGATTTTGTTTCTTGTACCTGAATGTCGAGGTTCACGTCTGATGGTGCGCACGTTTTGGTGGCGCTAGGGTAACGAAGCTATCATTGCTACAGTCAAAGCATTCTGGGGTGCATGTTTGATAACGTGGTCCGAGTTCGAAGTGACTCGAGGAACGTTGCAGATAGGCTCCAAACTTTGCTGTAAACGAGTATGTCAGTGCTGCAAAATGACTTGTGCGGTTAAATCGCATAAGAGAAATATATTGCGGATATCTATGAGAAACTTTAAATAAAAACAATTACAAAACGTTCATGGAGATGAATATCCGATCCTCCACGGAACTCAAAGAGACATGCATTCCCCGCACTTTGACTGGAAGAATGGGTAACCAATGACAAAGAAAGCACTGTCGTTATTTGTTGATAAGGCACAGGAAAGTTCTAACGCTCGTATGTGGTACAGGACAGTACACGCGGTTCAAACGGAAGATCGGCTCTGACGGTTATTGATAAGGCTGGTATGGAGATCCTTAGCACGGTGCATTACCCGGGTGCCGCAAAGGGAGATGAATGCATTTAATGTCTCATGAAAGTAGGTAATATCTCCTTTAATGTCGACAGTCGTAACACTGCGGAGTTGTTGAGATTGGTGATCATCAACAAATAAAATGTCTTACTATGTAGCTACTAGCAGACATCGTTTGTTCCCTGCTAATGAGCTAGGCCCGTGCTTCTGCCCTAACTGATCTAACGAAGTGAGGCTCGTGGCTTCAGCTTGGAGTCCTCTGAGTGGAGGCCTTCTCGAATCGATCCAACCTAACCTTGGAGAGCTTGGGTGCTTGCAGTAGTTGGTAGCAGTACGTACTCGTTATCGCTTCGTGGGTTGTAAGCAGTTCGTCCAAAGACGGACGCATGAGTCTAAGCGACCAATCCAGTCCATCGCCATCCAATATCCGTCCATCTTCAACGCTACGTATCTCGGACCATAGCCGTTTCTTTCCTTTCACAACCTACCTACTTAACCTAATAACTTTGCATACCCCCCGCCAAAAGTCACGATTTCAAGGGAATCGCCGTTTTTCGCATCCGTCCCTGCCTTGTACTCCTGCGGCAGAGTAACACTCCTTTTCCTAACAACCTACGATCCTCGTGGATCCGGACCCCCTTGACGTCACAAATCTCCCCCGAATCCCCTTAGAGCATCGCGTTTCGATATACTTTCCGTCGATCCCGATAAATAAGCCAGCTTTGAATTTACTTTCCGCTCTGCTGTCCGCCAATCATCCCTGCTCCGGACGCGAGGATATATACTTCAACCTTTCAACGTTCTGCTCACAGCGCATCCTTTTGCGCGTTACCGTTCGGTCGAATCTCGACGGGAGTACCAGTAAGGAACTCAAAATCCGGCAATATCGACACCTAATTCGACAAAAGCCCGCGGTGATGGCATAGCCCGCCTATCAATTGGTTGCACACAAAGTGAAGGCATGATATCTCTTCCACAAGCAGGAAACGTAAGTTGCGATACCACGCCACCTTACACCGCTCGTAGCTAATTCCATGTCTCTTTGCAGTTGACTTGGTGGGAGAGGCTCGTGGGGGCCTTCGCAACATGGCTCTCCTCAACCCGACCTTCGTCTTCGGCTGTATAGTCCTCTTATATCTATCGTCCTTCGTCCTCCTAGCCGTCTTTCGAATTATTACCGGTATCTCTATTCAAAGAATTGGCTACTTCTCCTTGCGCCGACTAGCATATACACCTCGAGATGGATGTAGGATAGAGATTAGGGGCCTGGGGCTCCACGTTCATCGACCAACCTTCGCCCAGCCAACATGGCTCAGTATTGTTCTAAGCGAGCTCGTCGTAACATTAGATATCAACGAGCTGGAAGGAAACAAACAGGTCGACGTAGACCCCGAGGACAGCGATGCCGAAACGTCGAAGGATAAAAAACCGGACGCCAAAACTACTGCCCGACAACAACCACAGCTACCGCGACGAGCTACGAGCACGGTTGTCCGAAGCGAAACATGGAAGAAACTTACGAATATCAAAGAAAAGATCAAGCGGTTGCATAGGAATATCAGTTGGCTCAAGCTGGTCGACGTTGTCGCGACAAACTCAGCTGTGAATATCGTTGACGTGGGCAATGTCCAGGTCGGAAGCTTCACTCTCGCGGTCGATACGCGCCGAAAGATGGTCGATCGTGTACGCTTTTTCGCCCGTCTAGCTGATCGCCATGGCAAGGACCAACAAGCGGAATGGACTGTCTCGTTGCGTAGCGTCTTGTTCACAGCTGATGGAAATGAATCCATGGAAGTTCTTGACCAGCTGTTTATCAACGTTCATGGACATCTATACAAGTCCATGGATGGTTTGCGCGAAGCCGCCGTGGCTATCAAGATGGGTCGACTGCATATTCCGTTCGATGATCTGCAAACGTGCATGAGCCGACTCAAGCAAAGGAGAGCTGAGGTCAAAACTCCTGGGGGAGAGGAGGAGCCCGTGGATATTTTCTTGGGCAAGGTTGCACAAGAAATCGACGATCCTGGAACCACGAACGAGGACTTGATGAGGACGGTGTCTGATTCCAAAGAGTTTTTCAGCTCTATCCTACGCGGCATCAAGGAGATTCAGTTTGCTGTGAGCTTTCTGGGTATGAGCAAGAAGGTCCAGTCTATCAAGCCTGGGTCTACCCCAATCCAGCTGAACGCAGCTATGAAAGAGGTTGGAATAGATCTTCACAGGCTGGACTCCAAGTCACCAGCACACAGGATGTATTTCCCCGCCGAGGCCATTGCGCATGAGGCATTGGCTGCTGCTCTGTCTATATCTGTTGGCTTGGACGATGGACATGGTCAACCTGAACGCCTTCTCTACGTCCCGATGGCCACGACTACGATCAAGACAACACTACTCTCCAAAACCGTAGAAGTTCTGCGAGCCAGTACCGTGGACGAGAGAAACGCCAACATCATGTTTGCTAACTCTGTCGTTACGTCGCCTTCGGTAGATCTGGACCCTCACCATTTGCCGCTCCTTATCGCCTTGTTCAAGTCAAAACCTAGAGCACCAAGAGCGCAGAATGATAACCACCATCTGATCTCGCGCCTACTGCCCAAAGCGAATTACAAGTTCTCTATGCACGAACCTGTAGTTCGTATAAAGCTACAACCTTTGCAAAAAGCCGAGGATCCAGATGATTTCGATCTCATCATTTCCTCGATCTCCTCGATATCACTCGACGTGGAGTCTTCCCATAGCCTTATGGCAGATATGCATTATTCCCTTGATGGCTCTTTCAGACTTCAATCGCACGACCTTTACTACCAGACCAATAATGGTGAGCGGTTTAACTTGATTACCACAGAATCACTCGATATGAAACTACACCTGGGCGCTCGGCCAGATGTTTACGTTGATGTATCTGGTAACCTTCAGTCTGCCTCGATCAGTATGGTCAGACCTGAGATTATCGATGGGCTTCGCCAAATAGTTCAGGAGTTACGCATTGATGTGGAACCAGAAAAGGGCACGATTTCACGATCCAGGGGTGGCCAGAACTTCTTACGATCCATGCCTAACTGGCTATTGAGAGCCCAGTTTGACGCTTCGGATTTCAACGTGGAGATCGCAGGCATTGACGAGGAGATCTCAGATGATACTCGTGGAGTATTTCTCCATTGGGATACTGTCTCTACCGAATACCGTGCCCATCGACTTGACGGACTTCAACGCCGGGCTTCCAGAAGACGCGCCAACAGTCGTTCTATCAGTCAGTCCGACTCGGAGTGGACTCCTCCTTCGAGCTCCCCACGGCCCAAAAAGAAACCGCAGAACATCGGCGATGGGCGAAAGCTTACACTCTTTGCCAGTGGAATCGAGGCACAGATCATGGATGCTGTTGATACACTCGAGCCAGAACCCTTCCTCAGTGTACCGAGACTTGAGCTTTCTCTCAGCGCGGCAAGCGATGCCAGTGGTCCAACTTTTAACATACAAGTTGGTGTCCGTTCGATCCGTGCTAAGTACTCTCTCTACCGGCATTACGCCATTGGGGTTGCTGTCATGACATTACGCAAAGCTTTCATGCAAAGCGGACGTGACATTCCACGAACGAAGCAACATGGAAGCTATGTTGATATCATTCCTACTGCCAACCGGCTGGCGCCTCCAGGAACTCCCGATTTCGACCCTGGCTCGTCCACTATTACACCAGAATTGGTTACTCTCGATTTCAAAGCAGCGCTCGTGCAGCTTAAAGCCGATATGCCTCACGATCCAGCCATGATGCTACATATGTATGGTTTAGAATTAGGCCGCCAGAGATGGTCTACGCCCTACATCGCTGCGAAACTTGTGCGGCTTTATACAGAGCCACCACGCATGCGCAACGTTTGGGCGAGGTTGGTCAGCATCAAATCAGGACGCCTCGATTTCCGAGAATCTCGTCGAAAGACAGCTTATGGGGGTGTTGTCGACGAGAAAATGGTGGACATCGTGACTGAGGCCGTTCGTATCGCGGTACCACACGAGGTTATCGTC